AAGACACTCGACTGAGTAGTGCCCCTTGAGATGCTTATACACCTCTATTAGGTCACCCCTTGCCCGTTTGTAGTATAAGCTTGGCAAGTTCAGGCACTCCAATCTCTCAGGGGCACATTTCTGATAATACTCTCAAGTACTTTACATATTATGCTGGTCAGGCTGTTCTTTAACACTGTAGTGGATTCCTCCCATACAAACGCTGTTTGTCGCTGAGTAGCCGACCCCTCAAATTCCCCAGTGTATTCCTCGTGGTCTAGGTCAGCAAGCAGAGCCGCCATACATCACGGAGGTCAACTATTATGCCACCCCTACCTCCGCTATATAAGACCAGACCTCCTGGTGACCTACCTCTCTTTCTACCTACACCAACCAGCAAGCAACACCACCTCCTCCTCCTCCTGCCTGGCGGCCCTCGCTCCCACCAGCGACCATGGCGACCCACACCTCGTGGTGAACTCTCTTTCTACCTACACCAACCAACAAGCAACACCTCCTCCTCCTCCTCCTGCCTGGCGGCCCTCGCTCTCGCCGGCGAGCATGGCGACCCACAAGCTGGTCCTCCTCTGAGCACCCTCACCAACCAGCTCTCTCTACTCGACGCTTGTAACCATGCTGACTTCCCAGCACCAAGCTGCATTGTACATCCAATACAACATGTATACAGAGAGCACATTGTGAGTTTCCTTTCTCCATCCCATCCTGAGTGTGAACCAAAATATCTCACAACCCCACAAATGGTGACCCCGGAGTGACCACTTACACAGGATGGAGGAGAAAGAACCAACATCATGTACCCCACAAATGGTGACCCCTGGAGATTCGCACTCACACAGGATGGAGGAGAAACCGATCACTCTCCCAGTCTTCTAGCAACATGGAAGACTGGCTTATCAACACAGAGGCAGCTCTCATCGGCTCTACAGCTACTGTCTCTACACCGCAGGTTAGACACCCTAGAGCAGCTCTGCTTCTCAAAGCAGACAGCCGCTCCTCTTCCTGCCCCAAGCACCACGTCCTACCGACCCCAACACACCCGTCCTGCCTCAGACGCCGCCCCTGGCCCAGCAGTACCCCCTGCCGCTCCTCCTGACGTGGCCCCTGCTCCTGACGTGGACCCACACACCCCTTTTTTCTCCCTCAGGTACTCCCTGCTCCTGTCCTGCACCCTGCTGCTGTCGTGGACCCTGCTGCTGTCATGCACCCTGCTGCTGTCATAGACCCTCTTCCTGACGCAGCCCCTGCTCCTGACCCAGACCCACACACCCCAGCAGGCGCATCTGAGGACTCTGTACCTGTCGCGAGGGAAGCACAACATTCATCGCCTCCACAACCCTCCTTCTCCCTCTCTCCTCCCACAGATCTTGTGTATCTAGACAAAGTTGCCCCTCCCCACCTAGCGGCCGGCTCATCCACGCCCTAAGGACACAGAACATAAGAAAATAAGGAGTCTGCAATAGGCCGGTTGGCCTGAGCATGGCAGCTCCTGTCGAGAATTATTACCACTCTCTATCATCCATGAATCTATCTAACCTCACTTTGAAACTTTCCAGCGCTCCAGCACTTACTACAAAGTTGCTAAGCTTGTTCCACTCGTCCACCACCCTATTTGTAAACCAGTTCCTTCCTATCTCCCTCCTAAACCTAAACTTATCCAACTTGAATCCGTTGCTCCGAGTCCTATCCTGCTCGGATATTATAAGAACTTTATCTATATCACCTTTATTGATTCCTTTCACCCACATGAATACTTCTATCATATCTCCCCGCACTCTTCGTCTTTCTAGGGAATGCAAGTTTAGTTTCTTTAACCTATCTTGATATGGAAGGTTTCTAAGTCCCGGAATCATTTTCGTCATTCTTCACTGCACCGACTCTAGTGAATTAATATCCATTCTATAATAAGGGCACCAGAACTGAACCGCATAATCGAGGTGCGGCCTGACTAGCGCAAGATATAGTTGCAATAAGACCTCTGCACTCTTATTACTTACACTTCTAGATATAAAACCCAATACTCTGTTTGCCTTATTTCGAACATTAACACACTGTTTTCTAGGCAGGTAGGTCCGGGATTACAAGTATCCCTAGGTCTCTTTCACAAGTCAACTTCTCTAGGTTGATGTTGTTAAGGCTGTATACCTTGACAGTATTTGTTCTGCCAATATTAAGTACGCTGCACTTGCTGGTGTTGAATTTCATTTGCCATTTTTCAGACCACCCCTGCAGTTTATTTAGATCCTCCTGTAATGCATTTGCATCCTGCCCTGAATTAATCTGCCGCCCTATTTTGGTGTCATCCGCAAACTTGCTTATGTCACTGCTGATCCCAGTATCTAGATCGTTTATGTAGATTATGAACAAGAGTGGGCCTAGTACTGACCCCTGGGGAACCCCACTGGTTACACGACCCCACTCAGATTTAACACCATCTACGCTGACCCTCTGCGTTCTATCGGTGAGCCATGATTTTATCCAATTTAAAACTTTCCCCTCGATACCATGAGCCTTAATTTTTCTCAGAAGCCTCTGATGCGGTACTCTGTCAAATGCTTTGCTAAAGTCTAAGTAAATAACATCGTAATTTTCGTCATTATCTACTACCTCGAAGACTTTCCGAAAAAATGTCAGCAGATTTGTTAGACAAGATTTTCCCTTTGTAAACCCATGCTGAGAGTCGTAGATTAATTTGCTTTTCTCCAAATGCGATCAGATGTTATCTGCTATAATTGATTCAAGAAATTTCCCCACTACTGATGTCAAACTGATCGGCCGGTAATTTGACGCTGATGCTCTGTCTCCCTTTTTGAATATGGGTACTACATTTGCCTGTTTCCACAAGTCTGGCACAACTCCGGTGTCTAATGATTTTGTAAATAAGTTTACGAGGGGTCCGCTAATCTGTTCCCTACACTCTTTCAAGACTCGAGGGAAAATTTCATCCAGCCCTGGGGATTTTGTTTTCTTTAGTTTATTTATCTTCTTAAGAACATCCTCTTTTCTGATAGTGATATTCTTTAATTTCTCTTCTTCCTTTCCCTTAAATATCAGTTCCACCTCTGGAATTTCATCGCGAATTTCCTCTGTGAAAACTGATAAGAAGTAGCTGTTCAATGCTTTGCTTATTTCTTCACTGCCATTTATCACTTCTCCCCTCCCTGAATTTAAAGGCCCAACTTTGTCCTTGACTTTTGTTCTATATACCTGGAAAAATCCCTTGGGATTCGCCTTGGATTCTCTTGCTATTTTGATTTCATAGTCTCTCTTTGCTTTCCTTACATTTTTCTTAACATTCCTAGATAGTTTATTATACCTATTTCTGAGCTGCTCCTCCCCTCCCTTTAATTTCTTATATATTCCTTTCTTTATTCCTATGTCATGTTTAAGTTTTCTGGTCATCCACCTTGGCTCATTCTTATTTGACCTAATTTTTTTGTATGGTATATTTTGTTCTTGTGCTTTATGTAGTATACTAGTGAATATATTATATTCATGATCAATTGTTGTGACATCTATGACCTAACCCCTTCCTAATGGTGACTGACGTGACTGTTCCCAGGTGACCTCACCTAGGTACCTTCTTAACCCCTGATAATCCGCCAACTGAAAGTTATGTCTCACATGAGGCATGCACCGCCCGTTCTGCCTCACATGTGCCATGCAACCCTGCAGACAACAAGTCTCCTACACCACCTGGAGGAAAGGGGGAGTATTGTAGTGGATTCCTCCCCTACAAACGCTGTTTGTAGCTGAGTAGCCGACCCCGGGAATTCCCCAGTGTATGCCTCGTGGTCTAGGTCAGCAACCAGCACCGCCGTACATCACGGAGGTCAACTATTAAGCCACGCCTACCTCCGCTACATAAGACCTGACCTCGTGGTGACCTACCTCTCTTTCTACCTACACCAACCAGCAAGCAACACCACCTCCTCCTCCTCCTCCTCCTGCCTGGCGGCCCTCGTTCCTGCCAGCGACCATGGCGACCCACAAGCTGGTCCTCCTCTGAGCACCCTCACCAACCAGCTCTCTCAACTCAACGCTTGTAACCATGCTGCCTTCCCAGCACCAAGCTGCATTGTACATCCAATACAATATGTATACAGAGAGCACATTGTGAGTTTCCTTTCTCCATCCCATCCTGAGTATGAACCCAAACATAACGAACCCCACAACACAACAATTCACTAAAATGATTTTAATGCCATTGCTTAACCGCAGATATAATCCTTCCCCCTGCACAAAAAAAAAATATTTGCACTCTGTGATGTTAATACATATTCAACCAATAATTACCCTCAGAGACCAGTTAATTATGACAAAAGGTCAGAAAGGTTACGTTACAAATTAGAAAGTGTGAGTGGACAGTACATGGCGGGTGGATTTTATTTTTTTTATGGGGAGGGTAAATTATGTTTTGCCCTCTGGTGCTAGACACCTTCATCATTACGCCACTGATCAAGTGTTGGGTGGATTTGATAGCCTACCCGGCTTTTCCGGAACTGTTATAGACAGCCCCAAAAGTAGGTATAATTATATAGGGGATTAAACAAGCCAACGGCTTCCTTGTTCCGTCACATTGGTTAAAATTTAATTTTTATTTAATCTTGTCGATAGGAATAACGAACAAAGTAATTTTCATTCCTAGTATAGTGATTATTACAAGTATAGTCTATGTTCGGCATTCCACTGTTGTCGTAGGTGTAATATAAACTTCCAGGTATTATTACAGTGATGCATTATTTTATTCCACCATTAAGTCACCCCATGAGTTTTCTTCTAATTAATATTTTGCCACAATAGTCGACGAAACACAACATATCATAAAAAGAATTAATTTATTTATCTAAACAGCTGATTTGAATCAAAATAAATAATCTGACTTCAGCTTAGCTATCAAGGGCCAATCAAAATTCAAAATTGAGTGATGGACCAATCAAAAGTTAGAATTTGCTCTTAACGCCAATCAGAGGACAGATGACTCAACCAATGAGAGTCTAGCACTCAGTATATGAAGATGTGGCGCCCCGGGGAAGACTGAGAACAGAACAACTTTGAGAGATTAATCAAATTTCCTGGGGCTATTTTGGAGTTTTAAGGCAACCATGGCATACCTACACAAAGGTGAGTTTATACATAAAGTTTTTATCGAGATTTAGAATAAAAAAATAGTGTTAATTGAGGCAAAGTAGACGAAGAATGTGAGGGCTATCGTGACTTCCTCGGCTTAGTGGCTGCCGTCACCTGACAATAACATGATTTATTCTATCGTGTCGGGGGATTTTGTTGTTACAAATGATTTTAATTGGTCTAAAAGAACTAAATAAGAGAACTTAAGAGTTAGAATTTATGGTATCAGTGTCTTTATACTAAGGAAAGTGAAAACAAAGTGTAGGGCAGTCACCTCTACTGTTCCCCAGGCCGTGTTGTCTCGTGTGAAGTAGATATTGTTGTAAGATTTGTTTTTTACCAGACATTTTTCTGAGGTTTGTTCAGTAGAAATGCCAGACTTGGCTCACAATAAAAAATGCCATGAAATACAAATCCATTTATTTATTTTGCTTTTGAAAGCACGAGACAACAATTATAACCTAACCATAACTACGCCCAGCCTTCGTTTATTTTACGGTAAATATTTATAGTGGCTCTTTGGAGATGATTATGGTTTGAATTATTTGGTTCATTTGAAACATTTAATTTAAGGCATAGACTGTGGCTGAGAGAGCAAGGAAAAATACATTGAATTATGAAGAGGTAAGTAAGCCTCCATGCTTTTGGTGAATGAAAACAAACCATCACAAAATTATGTCTGATCTTTGCAGGAAAGAACCATTGTGATAACGAAAATTTGTCATACCTTCTTGCTCTGCACTAGTTTCATTTGCTTTACTTTATCTTCAATCCTCATTGACGCTGGTTTGCTTACTGTCCAGTCTGGTAGTTGTTCATTTCTCTTACACAGTTGCTAAGTACTGGGTGTACATGTGCCAGTGATGGTCATAGAAACTCGGCCAGACACCTGAATTGGGGTAAAACTATGTTATGCTGAGCTAATGCACTGTGAGTTTTGGCCACACTACGGTGAAGCTCCGTATCTGTCAGCCAAAAAGTGTGGAACCAAGAGACTATCTTAAGGTTAATAATTGCTGCCATAGTTCCCTTAAGGATGTGGTTATGATGGGAAAACACAACTAATTCCTTAACCCTTTGTCATAAGCTTGTGTCCCTCCCCTGTCTAAGGTTTAAGAGAAAAAAATGGTTTAATTAATCAGTTGAACATAATGTTAAAACCCATGAAACAAGAAAAATTTTAATTGGTTAGCAGCTGCACGTCCTCTGTTCCCTTAGTGGCACAATGGTATGGGCAACCATGTCTTCCTGGTATCTCTCTGCTAATAGGTTGTTTATAAACTCAAGCTAAACTTCATCGCCATATTCCTCTTTTATCACTACACTCTACAGTACTTTCCATCAAAATTGCATCTTTTTCTTCCCATATCGCTGTACAGTAATGTTTAGATTTTCAGTTGTATCTACCAGATGCACGGGTATCACTTGTGCCTACCAGGTGTGCGTTCTGATAAACTTCTTTCCACCATGGAGTTTGTAGGTTTACCGAAGGTGAATAATTACTTCTGGTGGCTTATGGCTGCTCCAGGATATTTAAAATGGAGTGGGAAAAATAAAAATGGATTTCATGCATTCATTGGATTTTGGTTCCAAGTGTCTGAGGTATGTCTGATGGAATCCTGGTTAACAGCCCTGGAGTCTTGGCTATAATTCACTAGTTGCTTGGTTCTGGCTTGTCAGTAGGTAGAATGTCATGACCAATTTATCCTTTTTTTTTTAAGTCTTCATTTACAGCCTGTTTATACTACTGTGAGTTATTTATAGCTGGCACCGTTGACCATGATGAACTAGATATTATCTCGTGTCCTTGACCAGGATGCCTTCCCATGCTTCTGATTAATGACAAGAATTTTCATGTGTTGATTATTACTGTAGAGTAAAAATTGAATTTTTGAGTCTACAGTATATTGTAGCTCGAGTACTAGACAGCTCCATTAAATTTTTTTAGACAGTACACAGCAACCTAACTAAAATTATCCTAGACCTGTGATGTTAGGTTCAAGATGTTATGTAGTAACCCTGTTCATGGCACAGTACTTTTCTGATCAGTATTGGTTGTACTGTTGTGTGTCTTGATAATACAGTAGAGTTTTCATGGGAAATTTTCACAAGAGTAATTGTCTAAATGAGTTGGTTCTTTACAGGATCAGAAGCGGGTTGTCTCACTGCCCAAGAGATGGATGAGCAGCGACAGAAAAATATCTCGTACCAGTATCTATGTCACCTTGAAGAGGCCAGGAAGTAAGACAAACAATACTGTTATTTATGTAAACAATGCGTATTATTCTGGAGGAATAGCTTGTGTTTGATAAGGATATTGAATTTAGAAACTTTCAAATGTTTCCACATACTTGTAGGGAGAAAATGTGAATTACAGTAAAGGAGTCAAATTTTCAATATAATAATAATAGAAAGACATAGAAAGAAAAAAGTATTGTCTGTATCTTTCATTACATAGCTACTATACTGAAAGTAGTAGAGGTGTGTAACTGTCACCTGTCAACAGATGGATGGAGGCATGTATAAATGAAGAGTTACCAGAAGCTGGGGACCTGGAAGAACAGCTCCGTCATGGTGTCTATCTGGCCAAGTTAGCTCACTTTTTCGCCCCTGACACTGTTCCACTACGGCGTATCTATGATGCTGACCTGATCAAATACCAGACAAGTGGATTAACATTCAGACACACAGATAATATCAACCATTTCCTCAAGGCTTTAGAGAAAATTAAATTGCCAAGTGTAAGTGATAGCTAATACTGCATGTAGCCTGTTTCAGTCTAGGTACAGTAGTTTATTATGATTAGTATTCAGTAGTTGGTATTACCTTGAGCATCAAGGAATTCTGTACAGTACTACTAACAAGTTGGGTACTAGGGATTTAATCTATAAATTTTATTGACAATTTGAATTTTTTGTTTGGGTCAATTCCTAGTAAAGAATCATGGTGTAATAATGGGAAAGTTTAGGGGGAAAGTAGGAAAATTTTTGCATCTAATTTGTTTTCATATTTTCATGTTATTACAGAGCTTCTACCCAGAGACGACAGATGTATATGACCGCAAAAACATGCCCCGTGTTGTGTTTTGCCTACATGCTCTCAGCCTTTACCTGTTTCGACTTGGGATTGCTCCGCAGATACAAAATCTATATGGCAAAGTTATCTTCTCAGGTTAGAAACAGTATATGACTTTTTCATTTTATATACCATTTTCAAATAAGTACATACAGTACAGTACAGTGGAGTCGCGATAATTCATGAAATACAAATACACGTTCTTAAATTTGCTGGTACAGTACCTCTATTACTACCTCTTTTAAATTTTGTGGTCAGATATTCATAATTCACATCTGAGCACTGCCTGTCAGTGATTATAATATAAAACTATCAAATAAAAAAAATGCAGTGTGGGGAGTGAGTTGTTTATGGGAGGTAGGGTGGTGTACTGAGCCCCCCCCCCCTCTCATTCCTGAGCACTAGGTACCTCTTTGACCTCATTAATATAACATTATACAATTTCACCATAATTCCGATATTATTTCGGTTTATTTGGTGCTCGGATAATAAAACGTTATCGTAAACTTATCATTTTTTCCCCCAAAATCCACACTCGACCCCATTATGGTTCATTGCTTATATTGTGTGGTCACAGCTAGCCCAGTGCCTGCCTGTCTTCATGGTGTTGTATTAGTGTAACACCGCATAATTATAAGAAGGGAAGGAGCTGTTTATGTAATGTAGAACGACATTTTGTACAATACTGTACAGGTTGAGAACCCTTTATCCGAAATTCCGAAAAACGAAAAGCTCTGAAAACCAAAAGTTTTTTGTGGAGCAATTTTTTTTTTTTTTTTTTAACAGTGATTAGCTCACCCAGGCATAGATCACTGACCCACATCGGGGCCTGGGGGGCAGAAATGTAATAGTAATACTAATTATAATAATAATAATTATTCATAGTAAATAAAAATTGTAATAAAAAATACACCGAAATATAATAATAATAATAACAATAAAATAATAATAAAATTAATAGTAATAATAATAACAATAATACTGTATTAATAAAATAATAATAATAATAATAATAATAATAATAAAGAACTACAAGAATGAAAAAAGATAAAAGTGAGAAACACGACCTAGACCTATGAATTATTATTATAACTAACCATTCTGAAAACCGAAAAATTCCGAAATCCGAAATGCCTCTGGCCCCAAGGATTTCGGATAAGGGATTGTCAACCTGTACTGTATTTATGTGTTGCTGTATTTGTTTATGTACATATTTTACAGCATGTAAGACACGCGGCCATATAAGGAGGACCCCCCATTTAGCAGGGAATATTCAGGAAAAACTTTTGTGGATGTTTTTCCTCCTGTAGCCATAGTTTTATTAGGATAATATATACAATAATGTATCAGTAAATGTGAGGAATAAATAAAAATACTGTAATAGCAATAAATAAGTTGAAAAAAAAAATACTGTATTGCCAAACCAGCAAATAAGAGCAAAGTGAAAGTTTAACACAATCGCCATTTGCATACACTCCCTTCTTCGCCATAGCAATGCAGACCAGCATGGATGCTACCTCCGTTGACACTCTAGCAACACCACCGCCCCACACTCTGTGCCCTCTTCCTGCTCCCCCACTGAGCCAGCTAACTCATGTGCAATGAAATGTGTTTGCCCTTATGACAATTAATTCTTTTACTTTTTTCACTATGCATGTAGGATAGTGTGTAAAAATAAATGAAGAGAGTTACTTATATCTACCTGAAAATACAAGTTGAAAAACAACCAAAACACCTCGCAACTTGGCCCAGTAGCCCGGTGGTTACAGTGACGAGTCTAACTTGGCTACAATACTGCCAGTGATGTTATCAGATGCAAATGTGAAAATAAATTAATCTGTAAAAATCTTCATTGGTATTTATTGATTTTAAAAAAAATGTTGCAGGTATGGCATTAATAGATACCCTGTAGTAATGCTTGTAAGAGTTCAGAAATGGTTACTGCTTAGCTACCTTCAGAAGAGTTGGGTGTCTGCCGTATTGATGTTAATCGTTTTGGGTTATCATCATCAGTACAGTAGTTATAAATTCAGCTTTTATATTTACAATAATTATTTTTTTAATTAATTACAAATATAATAATGTGTTTAAATAAGCAATAACATCTTTTTTTAATTCTGGAGTTGGGTTAGGTAGAATTTAGCCTACTGGAGACAGCAACTGGGGGAGTTGTTAGCCTACTGGAGACAGCAACTGGGGGAGTCGTTAGCCTACTGGAGACAGCAACTGGGGGGAGTCATTAGCCTACTGGAGACAGCAACTGGGGGAGTCATTAGCCTACTGGAGACAGCAACTGGGGGGAGTCATTAGCCCACGGTAGACAGCAACTGGGAGAGTCATTAGCCTACTGGAGACAGCAACTGGGGGAGTCGTTAGCCTACTGGAGACAGCAACTGGGGGAGTCATTAGCCTACTGGAGACAGCAACTGGGGGAGTCATTAGCCTACTGGAGACAGCAACTGGGGGAGTCATTAGCCTACTGTAGACAGCAACTGGGGGAGTCAGCCTACTGGAGACAGCAACTGGGGGAGTCATTAGCCTACTGGAGACAGCAACTGGGGGAGTCATTAGCCTACGGTAGACAGCAACTGGGGGAGTCATTAGCCTACTGGAGACAGCAACTGGGGGGGAGTCATTAGCCTACGGTAGACGGCAACTTCACATATTGGCCCCTGGGCGATTTTTGTTGTTATTTTTCAGACTAAAAATGCGGTACAGTATAATGTACAATGTTTAGTGTTTATTAAAGCAGTTTTGGAACAGTTTATAATGTGTGATTTGATAATTAATTCACAATGTCTTTTGGTACCTAATGCCAGAATTATCGAGACTGCTATATTTTATATTTATTATTACTAGTAGTAGTACAGGTATTACCAGTACAGGTATCCCTCGTTTAACGATTGAGGGTGCATTCCTGAAAACTGATCGTTAAATGACTCGAGAGATATGTTTTTTTTTTTACTGGGATTAGCCCACCTGGGCACAGGTCACTGACCCACAACAGGGCCTGGGGGCCGAAAATGTGATGATAATAAAAATTATAATAATAATTAGTTTAAAGTAAATATAATTTATAATAAGAAATACAAAATTAAAAATAAAATAGTAATAACAATAATAATAATAATAATTATACTTTAATAATAATAAAGAACCATAAAGAAATACAAAATGAAAAAAGATCAAGAGTTATCTTCCCAGGCGGTAGTACCTCCCTGTTTGGTAGCTTCCTACTACCTACACACCAAATGTGTCTGCTGTCTGTATGGTGTGATCAGCGTAACGTCACATAAGGGGGAGGGAGAGTGCGCCTGGCCTCAGTTACAGCCTCAATGCATATATTCACTTCCCACACATACACACTTATGCTCTTCACTTTTCTTATTTTATAGTTTTATATTATATTGTCTTTATTTCTAAGCCACATTAGAGTATTGTATTGATGCGCATTTGGATAACAGAATCCCGAGTTTTTCTGACTTCCTGAATTTTCTCAGTTAAAGAATGCTAAACTGAAAATAGACTATCGTTAAATGAGAAAGGATGTTAAAAATTATAAATCGCTAAGCCAAAAAGATCACTTGGTGAATGATCGTTAAACAAGGGATAACTGCACAGTACTATACTTGTAGATTTTTTTAGTCAGAAAACACAATATTTACAAATTTTAAGATACTGAAAGAAATAAGGATGGGAACCTAGTTTTAATGTTATACTAGTGCCAGCAGTATTTATCATAGGTGACTTAAAGTATATATAACATACGAGTATATTTCAACTCGTGCTGAATGAAATGTGATTGGGATACTTGATCACGGATCTATCATATGCATAAGAGGGAGAGGGAACAAGTCAGTTTATGGGTAAAATACTCAATTTTGTTCTGTTGTATATGTTTGGTTAACAATTATGTCTCATCTTTTACAGAGGAAGTAATGCTGGCTATGATGAAGGAACTAAGCAAGTATGGCTGCCAGTTGCCACAGTTTGGCAAGATTGGTGGGATTCTTGCCAATGAGCTGCCAGTTGACGAGGCAACACTCCACGCTGCCATTATTGCAGTCAATGAAGCTATTGAAAAGGGTGTATGTATAGAGGAAGACTTTATTATCATTTTAGCATTAATAGTGTAATAGCATTAACTTTGTTATTTTTATTGAAGGAGGACATGTTGTTGGGTGATGCTATGTTGTGTGAAGTGATGGATAACTCAGATAGATATTTGGGACATTGTGTGGACGGGATACCCAAGCAGGACTCGTCTTTTACGGAATTAATAATAAATTAATGGCATTTTTAAGTTAATCCTCCATTTTGATATATACCAAGGGTAGTTGCTTATGATACTGTATTATTATTTTGACAGGATCACTGTGAACTGCTGGAAACATTAGGCAATCCATCATGTCACCTTCAGAACATCCTTGAGGAAAACATAGACAGTTATCTCCAATGTCTGTTTGATGCCAAGATGCACAAGAAGGAGATGGCAATAAACAAGGTTAGTCAAAACTGCACCACAAGTTTATCTTTGCTGTCATCTCTTTAAAGTTCACCTATGTTGGAATTTTAAATACTGTATAAGTTCTATAATTTGGGGGGTTCAGGTTTATTCTTTCTTTTTTTGTGTTCTACACAGATAACTGCCGCAGTTGATTATAAATTAATTATTAAAAATTATTATTTTCCATAATAATGAGCATTCATAAAATGTTGATTATTAAGAATAATGGGTAGCTTATTCAAGGGTTACCCTATATGTGGGATGGCCATAATTGAATAGAGATTCTTAAGAAATCTTCATGACTGTTTTTATATATGCAGTTTCTCACTTGTTTGGGAACTTCCCTCTGACACAGTCTCCAGGCAATCTTGTCACTGCATTTTCCTTTGTCCTCAATGCCATTTAAATCTCCCCAGATTTTCTCCTGAATGAATTGTTCTGTCCTTCTTTCATTGCAGGTTGTCCCATTCACCCAACACTTCCCTGCATTACCTCTATACACTTCTCTGACACCCTTCTTACACGTTCATATATGTTCTAAAAGTAGTTAAAGTAAAGATAACTGTATGCATGACATGTTTCCAAAGGAGTATTATTTTAGGTTGAAATTAATGCTGTGGAGATATGGAAGAGAGCCTGAAAATGTTTTGTTTTTGGTGCATTTAGTTGACTGGGATAAAGTTTTGGAATTCATTTACTGTATAAATTTTTAATCTCATCTTGATTAGTGGTGCTGGGTTTTATAAAGTTTTCATGACCGTTTTATTCAAAGAAATCTTTGTAGGACTGTGACTTGGTTTCTACTGTAATATGGATCACAAGCCTATTTTTTATTTCTGCAAAATCACCCATTTGATGGATGCAAAAGTACACATACCTTAACTGTAGGGTTAGTTAAATGAATCTTGTGCCAAAGAAATTGTGTGTTCTGTAAACATAAACTCGCCTACTCACTGGCTTTACAATATCACTTTTCATAATATAGATTGTTTTCACTCTTCAGCCTTTTTCTCATTACTCTTTACAGTGACCCCTCGTTTTACGAACGCCTCGGTTAACGAACTGCCTTCCATAAGGATCTTCAATTCGGTTAACGAACAAAAATTCGGTTAACGAATTTCTTACGAACCGACCTCAACATGTTTTCGCTTGCACTGACCGGGCAACCAGCTTTAGTATCAGTCCGCCAATACATTAATCGGTTCTAGGGCTTAAATTCCTTACTATTTTAGTAAATATCAAGAAGTTTATACTATTCAATAATTTTAAAAGTTTAATATTCAATTTTTTAGTCATTAACAATTATTGAACATAATTGAAGGTAAAGTGACTAGTTTAATGCGCGGCATCCAGCCTCTTAACACAGCAAACAGGCGTTAGTCTCTCTCTGTTTTCACTGGAGGTAGCATCTTGCTTGAGACTCTCTTCAACTAAACGCTTTTTTTCTGTGTTTCCAAGCAAATTATTGATCATTTTGAAATATATTTTACATATTGACAATATATAATGCAGTGCAGTGTTGATTTAAAGAAAATAATCTTGAATTACACCAAGAGAGCTAAAATTTTATGGGTGAAATGGCGCCATGGGGTGACTTCTCTTCCACCCCAATGACTTCTCTTCTTCCTTATCCTCCACCCCCATTCTAAATCCTATCATCATCATCATCATCATCATCCAGGAGCCTTCTACATACACACCTCAAAGTAAGTGAACTTTTCTACCATTTTTGTTGAATTTAGGAAATTTTCGGTGAGCTGGAACCAATTACCCAAAAACCCATTGAAACAATGGTTTCGGTTAACGAACGACCTTCTGGAACGGATTGAGTTCGTTAACCGAGGGGTCACTGTACTCAAAGGTGGCCAGAATCAAGAGACATAAGACTTTTAACTACATTTTCTGTCACTTATTCTTACCCATGAAACATAAATGATCTGCTATGGCATTCTCCTTCAAATGCAAAGCCCCAAATATGTCATTTCACAACCCAACAATACTTATCAGCAGCACATCCATCCCCCAAAATAAGTTGGTTGCTCTCCAGTCGGTCTTCATGGGTGGTCCATCCCTCCTACTTTTTCAGCGGGTCTATGACCCCAGTCTATTGTCTGTTGTCTTGAATTATTCGTTTCCCATTCTCTCGGTTCACCCTTCCAACTTGACAAAATCCTGATCCACTCTCTTCTTATTTTTTGTCCTGTTCACACACTAATTCATTAATTCTCGTGAAACATTTCAGAGCCGTGATCAGGATTACATTCCCGATGCTTATGATGAGCTGCTCACTCAGGCAGAGATTCAAGGTCACATCTCCTATGTTAATGGTAAGTCCTCTTTTTTATGATGTATTGAGGTAAACTATTGTGTTGCTTATATACAACAGATATAAATGTGTTTGATCAGGACTTATTTTGTTAATCTAACAGTGATGGGTTATGAGGGTACCCAACTAATAGCCTTGTCCTGTTTCATGGTTTTGTAGGCGAGTTGATTTTTCCCTGTTAGATGAGTTATATTACTCATTTCAGTGTTCTTATTTTACACCGAAATTTGGTATACTACAGTAGACCCTCATTATTTTAGTTTGATATTGTACAGTCGACCCTCGTTAATTCGGACCCCTTTAATCCGGATTTCGGATAAATCGGACGAAATCTGAACTGTCCATATCAAATTTCTGGTTCTGGGATTGTCCCAGTTGCAATTGGGGTTGCAATTTCAAATTCTGTGTCACTACTAAGAAATGACAAAGTCTCTGGTGCACTGCACTCTAAGATTAAGAGAAAACGGACGACTCAGGCGTCCTGAAGTGAAGAGAAAACGGACTCCTGTGACGGGGCACTCAAATAAAGAGACATGGCTACATGTTTTGTGGACTACCCACTGTACAGTATCCTTTTCATCACTTTGTAATAAACCTCGTCATGCCTATGTGTTTCTGATAATTACCATAACATTATATATATATATATATACACCTAGACCCCGACTTACGACTACGTGGACTTACGACCGCCTCAGATATAGATATAAAAAAATTTTTTTTTTTTTTTTAAATGACACGCATTTTCTATACCGAAACGTTTCCAGTTAATGTAGTCTCCATGTATAATTAGAAAATTATGGGGGCCCCATGTGCATTCAGCTGACTACATTAAAGGTTAAGTGCTCAGTCACACTGTATCCATTCCTTATTATTTATTACTTTTGTACTGTACTTCATCATTATCATTACTTTTACTGTACTGTATTTTTTATTTAAAAAAAAAATTTTTCTTTTTTTTTATCTATGTCGGACTTACGACCTGGATTTGGGTCCCTAACCCCGTCGTAAGTCGGGGTCTAGGTGTATATTTAGCGGTTGTACAAACACAAGGCCTCACACATGCCACTCAGACTGACAGACTTGACAAGTTTTACCAACCATAAAGACAGTTGAAGCTTTAAACATCACTCATAATGGATCTTGAATATTCCAACTGTAATCAGACATACCTAAGTTGCCTCAACAATTGCAACCCCAGTTGCAATATCAAATTCTGTGTCACTACTAAGAAATAACAAAGTCTCTGGTGCACTGCACTCTAAGATTAAGAGAAAACGGACGACTCAGGTGTCCTGAAGTGAAGAGAAAACGGACGACTCAGGTGTCCTGAAGTGAAGAGAAAACGGACGACTCAGGTGTCCTGAAGTGAAGAGAAAACGGACGACTCAGGTGTCCTGAAGTGAAGAGAAAACGGACGACTCAGATGTCCTGAAGTGAAGAGAAAACGGACGACTCAGGTGTCCTGAAGTGAAGAGAAAACGGACGACTCAGGTGTCCTGAAGTGAAGAGAAAACGGACGACTCAGATGTCCTGAAGTGAAGAGAAAACGGACGACTCAGGTGTCCTGAAGTGAGAGAAAACGGATGACTCAGGTGTCCTGAAGTGAGAGAAAGCGGACGACTCAGGTGTCCTGAAGTGAAGAAAAACGGACGACTCAGGTGTCCTGAAGTGAAGAAAACGACTCAAAGTGAGAAAACGGACGACTCAGGTGTCCTGAAGTGAAGAGAAAACGGACGACTCAGGTGTCCTGAAGTGAAGAGAAAACGGACGACTCAGGTGTCCTGAAGTGAAGAGAAAACGGACTCCTATGACGGGGCACTCAAACAAACATGCACATAGCTGTATAATGCAATATTATGCAATATTAACCCCTAAATCGGTTAATTTGGACAATCGGCTAAAACGGACACCCTTCCCCTCCTACAGTGGGGTATGCTATAACGAATCTAATTGGTTCTAGAACCTTGTTCGTTATAGGATTAATCCGTTCCAGGCCCCCAAATACAACCACTTAACACTGATAAATGTAATATAAAATTGTAAAAATTGTAAAAAATTGCATAAATATGCATCTAAACCCCTGAAATAAAGAATATCATTAATATTTGTAATAAAAAAACAATAAATTAGTAAAAAAAAATTTTTTTTTTTTTTTTTAAATAATGTTCGTTGTAGGAGTTTCGTTCGTTATAGCATTCTCAATTTTATAGGTAAAACCGTTCGTTATAGGAATATTCGTAGTAGGATCCGTTCGTTATAGCATACCCCACTGTATTAGTCCGTTTTAACGAGGGTCGACTGTACTTTGCTTTCTTTGTCATTTCATCTTAAATTAATCTCATTTTTCTTAGTTGTGTGTTCAAATCCCTTTCATATGTTAGCTCAGAAAAGTTCAATATTTTCGAATGGACAGTGGACACACTTGTTCATCAGCTGATGACAAACAAGATTTTTCCCACTTCTCACTAGATGGCAGCACAGGCATCTCACCCAAAGCCATCTACGCAGCTGCTTGCTTACTCTTTTATGCTCGGTCGCTTTAAAACATATGCAAGTCACCAGTTCCCATCAACACCTCACGATATCTTAGTGTCCCTCAAGTGTTTATTCTACCACTCCATGTGAGTGATGAGACTGCCTGTTGCTGAGGTGTTCTGGCAGTGGGTTTAGTCTGGTGAAATAAATGTCTTGAAGGAATTTTTTTGTGTTATGGGGGCTCCAGTCCTGCCCCATCCCTTATGCTGTATTTCCTATTGAATTACATAAATTGATATATTGCCATTTACTATTTCATAGTAATTCTCAGTCCCACTTGCAATTTAATGAGGGTCTGCTATATAGTATTTAGCTTTTAAGTCAAGTCTTGTACACTTAACGACAGTAAGTACTTTTGACAGAATCTTAAGTGTGGATACAGGTTGTATATTTTATCTGACTTTCAGCTTTCTGTGCTACTGAGAGAGTGGAAGATGCCGTCAGGGACGAGAATGTTGAAGCTTTGATCCAGGCACTCAGCTCCTCAGTCCTCTCCCTCAAGGTTAGTCTTAAGCACCATACCAAGGTGTTGTTATACATTTTTAGGTCACATAATCCCTGAACCTAATGGTCCTCAAATGAAAGCAGTCATTAGGACTGAGGCCCAAGCCCAGTGGTGTCAAACTTAAAACCTTTTGAGGGCCAATTCTTATTTTAGTTACCTTTTCAGGGCCAACACAAGTGCTATATCACATATTTGCAGGATTGAAGTTTACAGCTTCACACACATTGCCTTACCTGGCTTACCAAGAATACCTCATTTGGGTTTGTCTGATCTAAAGAATGTAAAATTAATTTTACTTAATAAACATGATTAATGCTAATAACAGGATAGCAAAAGGCATATATATACAGGTTGTACCCCTCTAGTCCGGCAACCTCGGGACCTGACCGGTGCCGGACCATGGAAATTGCCGGACCATGGAAATTCACCCTTTTCCTGGATAGATAGTGACTTGTGCTTATGCTTGGAAGCACTAGCACCACTTTCTCTGCATCATGGTCTCTTTGAAGACATATTGAAGGGTTAAATGTCGTATAGTCGCTTCTCAAATTTCGCGAGTTTTTAATTCAACGTATTTTATTGGAACACAAAAAAAATAAAAATTTTGATGGCGGAAACTTGAATTTCAACGGGTTTGAACGGCCCGCCAACGTGCAGACGACGTGCATAATCGTGTAAACAGCGTCATTTCTCTTATGTACAAAAGATTCATTATTGTTTATTACTGAATGTCTTTTTTATTGAATTAATGTTTGTGCAAAATGAGCAATACAATTCATTAATAATACGTAGAATATTAAAACACACCAGGAAATGACACAGCATTGTTTTCGTTGATTACAAAACCAGTGACTGACTGGTTCTACATATAAAACTGAATTTCATGTAGATCCACAATGAAAACGTGGATAAGATAAATCTTGATAAAATCACACGGGGAAAAGGGAAACAACGGAGCACCTTAGCTTTCGTCTTTATTCAAGACATCTTCAGAGGCAACTGGATTACATGGACAGAGAGAGGCTTAAATATACAGGGTGACCTTAAAAACATGAGGTCAGGTCATAATGATGTCATCCACTAATCTCCACACCAACACACACGTAGAGGAGCTTAAGAGAAGGGGGGTGATGTGACTAGTCAGGTCAGGTCAGGTCAAAAATAAGGGACCCACTAAATATTTATCATACATCTAGATCAAAGGTTTTCAAAGCATTTTTAACCTTGGGCCACTGACAAATAAATTTATGTAACATATTATCAGTTTTGAACTGACCATCACTAAGGTTGATTGATTTTAATTCCTTAATCAAACTAGCTTCAACCAGAAGTCTTTCTGTGACACAAGATGATTTAAATACTTCTAAGCTTTTTTCCCAAGCAATGGGATGATTATTATTCCTAACATGAACGAACAAGGCACTGCTTTCAGATGCTGTTCTGATATTATACTTATGTTGTTTGATTCTGAGCTGCAGTGTTTTTCCTGTCTGTCCTACATAATTACAATTACATTTGCTACATGGAATACAATAAACACTTCCATTTATATTCAAACTTGGGCTATTTCTTTTTAACATATTGGTAATGGTTGAGTCATACTTGAAAACAACATAAATATTTAGAAGCTTGAGGGACCGAACTAACGGGACAAATTCATTACGATAGGGCAGAGTCAAAATATTCTTAAGTGTAGGAATTTGCCTGGTTTGAGAGGAATGAAAGGATTTTTTAGCCCTTTTAAAACAACGATCAACAAACACAGAAGGGTACCCGAGTTTCTGTGCAATGAAACGAATGTGTTTCAATTCATCGTCAATAAATTCAGTCACAAATACGCAGACATCTTAAGAACATAGCAGAAAAAACTGACATTTTGGTAGACTCCAGGTGATTCGATAAAAAGTGAATGAAACTGTCTAAACTTGTCTAAAAATTCCAATGGGTCACTGTTACTAGGCCAAAGAGTACCAGTGAAAGACCTACTTTCATTTCTTAAAGATAAATTACAACTGTTAGATTTAACTATTGAACATGATACTTTCCTCAAATTGATAGAGTTATGCGTAACTGACAATGTGTTTAGAGCAAACGGGAATTTCTACAAGCAAATATTTGGCATGAGCATGGGTAATTGTCTTTCTGCTCCTCTAGCCTGTATTTATATGGAGTTTTTTGAGTCTAGATTACTACCCAATATAGTGGACTTTATTCCTCCATGGTATAGATATGTAGATGATGTTCTTTGTCTTTGGCCAAGTAACAGTGACTCATTGGAATTTTTAGACAAGCTTAATGATATTGTCCCAAGTATCACATTCAAAATTGAAAGAGAAATAAATGGATCCCTTCCATTCCTTGATATGCTTATCATGAGAAATGGCCAAAACTACAAATTTAAGGTATACAGAAAGCCCACACAGGTAGACAGTTTCATTCACTTTTTATCGAATCACCTGGAGTCTACCAAAATGTCAGTTTTTCTGCTATGTTCTTAAGATGTCTGCGTATTTGTGACTCTGAATTTATTGACGATGAATTGAAACACATTCGTTCCATTGCACAGAAACTCGGGTACCCTTCTGTGTTTGTTGATCATTGTTTTAAAAGGGTTAAAAAATCCTTTCATTCCTCTCAAACCAGGCAAATACCTACACTTAAGAATATTTTGACTCTGCCCTATCGTAATGAATTTGTCCCGTTAGTTCGGTCCCTCAAGCTTCTAAATATTAATGTTGTTTTCAAGTATGACTCAACCATTACCAATATGTTAATAAGAAATAGCCCAAGTTTGAATGTAAATGGAAGTGTTTATTGTATTCCATGTAGCAAATGTAATTGTAATTATGTAGGACAGACAGGAAAAACACTGCAGCTCAGAATCAAACAACATAAGTATAATATCAGAACAGCATCTGAAAGCAGTGCCTTGTTCGTTCATGTTAGGAATAATAATCATCCCATTGCTTGGGAAAAAAGCTTAGAAGTATTTAAATCATCTTGTGTCACAGAAAGACTTCTGGTTGAAGCTAGTTTGATTAAGGAATTAAAATCAATAAACCTTAGTGATGGTCAGTTCAAAACTGATAATATGTTACATAAATTTATTTGTCAGTGGCCCAAGGTTAAAAATGCTTTGAAAACCTTTGATCTAGATGTATGATAAATATTTAGTGGGTCCCTTATTTTTGACCTGACCTGACTAGTCACATCACCCCCCTTCTCTTAAGCTCCTCTACGTGTGTGTTGGTGTGGGGATTAGTGGATGACATCATTATGACCTGACCTCATGTTTTTAAGGTCACCCTGTATATTTAAGCCTCTCTCTGTCCATGTAATCCAGTTGCCTCTGAAGATGTCTTGAATAAAGATGAAAGCTAAGGTGCTCCGTTGTTTCCCTTTTCCCGTGTGATTTTATCAAGATATAAAACTGAAGAAAATAAGACCTTGGTTGTAGCTGTAGTAAAATTAATATGGTTGTTTTAAGTAATGTTATTTAATGTTAATAAATGGAACAATAGAAGTAGCTAACGATAATGGTAAAGAAAAAAGAGATCGCGTATGTAAGTGCGCACACGTGAAAACATATCGTCATTACTTTACATAAGAATATGAAAGCAACACTTATTTACTGTTCATATATATTTTAATTAGTGTTTCTGAATTTATTTTTATTGAATTAATGTTTGTGTGTGCAAAATTAACAATACAATTTATTTATAGTACGTGGAATATTAAAACACACGATGAGACGAGACGGCTGCCGGCATTGTTTATGTTAAAGCTTACAAAACCAGTGACTGATTGGTTCTACATATAAAACTGAAGAAAATAAGACCCTGGTTGTAGCTGTAGTAAAATTAATGTAAAAAATTAATATGGTTGTTTGAAGTACCTGTAATGTTATTTAATGTTAATAAATGGAACAATATAAGTAGCTAACCATTAATGGTAAAAAAAAGTGAGACCGCGTATGTAAGTGCACACATGTGAAAACATATCGTCATTACTCTACATAAGAATATGAAAGCAACACTTATTTACTGCTCATATATATTGAAGGGTTAAATGTTGTACTCGGTATAGACAAGCGCAGAGAGAGAGAGAGAGCAGCCGAACTGCCGGATGTAAACAAACCTTAATTTCCCGCAGCTTTGTTGTTGTTTTTTTTATGGGGATTAGCCCACCCGGGCATAGGTCACTGACCCACATTGGGGCCTGAGGGGCAAAAATTTAATACTCCTGTAATAATAATAATAATTATTCAGATAAGTAAAAAAAAAAAAAAAAAGCTGCCTATCTACCTACTGGACAAACTAAAATCGTTCCGGACCACAGAATGCCGGACTAGAGAGGTACAACCTGTATATGCTTTATTTTGGGGCTACAATTTATTACAGAATTCCATTTGTGTTTTGAAACTTAAGAGCTCAATCTTGTTATGACCGTTATGTTATGTACAATGATGTAGAAGATCATTTCGGAATTTACCAACTCATTCATATCTGCATTTTTTCCTTCATATCTATTTCTATTATAATTTCACTGGCTTATAAATTTTACAGTCATCCCGCGGGCCACACCTGACCATCCCAAGGGCAAAATTTGGCCTGCGAGCCATGAGTTTGACACCCCTGCCCAAGCCTAATGATTAGGCTAGGGAAGATTGGGGCCCATTTTCTAAGTTAACTAACTATGCTCATTTTCTAGGCTTATTGTGCAGTTGGTTACCCAAAGAAATTTAAACTTTAAACAATATTATTTGCATTTCGTTAGATATGTCTGGTAACTAGATTTTTAGTTTTACCTGTATTTTTGTGAGACAACATTTCAGTGACCCCTCATTTAACGAACGCCTCGGTTAACGAACTGCCTTCCATTAGGATCTTCAATTCGGTTAACGAATTTCTTACGAACCGACCTCAACATGTTTTCGCTTGCACTGGCCGGGCAACCAGCTTTAGTATCAGTCCGCCAATACATTAATTGGTTCTAGGGCTTAAATTCCTTACTATTTTAGTAAATATCAAGAAGTTTATACTATTCAATAATTTTAAAAGTTTAATATTCAATTTTTTAGTCATTTTAACAATTATTGAACATAATTGAAGGTAAAGTGACTAGTTTAATGCGCGGCATCCAGCCTCTTAACACAGCAAACAGGCGTTAGTCTCTCTCTGTTTTCACTGGAGGTAGCATCTTGCTTGAGACTCTCTTCAACTAAACACTTTTTTTCTGTGTTTCCAAGCAAATTATTGGTCATTTTGAAATATATTTTACATATTGACAATATATAATGTAGTGCAGTGTTGATTTAAAGAAAATAATCTTGAAATACACCAAGAGAACTAAAATTTTATGGGTGAAATGGTGCCATGGGGTGACTTCTCTTCCACCCCAATGCCTTCTCTTCTCCCTTCTCCTCCACCCCCATTCTAATTCCCATCATCATCATCATCATCATCCAGGAGCCTTCTACATACACACCTCAAAGTAAGTCTACTTTTCTCCCATTTTTGTTGAATTTAGGAAATATTCGGTGAGTTGGAACTAATTACCCAAAAACCCATTGAAACAATGGTTTCGGTTAACGAACGACCTTCTGGAACGGATTGAGTTCGTTAACCGAGGGGTCACTGTACTTCACCATGGCAAGTGCTCTGAATGATGAATATGCAAGACAAAAAATTGAAAAATGGTAATGTTCCCCAATTGATGAGCGATGGAAATGTGAAACCACGAACAAAGAGGAGAGAAAGAAGAGTGGCTGCCTTTATAACAAACCATGATGTTTTGATTCTGGGTTAGAGTACTGTATTAATTTTTTTCATATTACAGTAAATTTTTGTAATATGACTCACTTTCACTAATTATTTTCCAAAGATTTTGGGGGAAAATAATTGCTGGTACTGTACTCTACAGTACACTATTAATATTTTATACATTACACATAAAGCTGTTTTCTATTAAAACGTCTATGTTTATCTGGTCAGGGAATTAATAGAATGAAGAATGAATCAATGTTGCTTTTAATTAGACACCTTGTGCTATATTGAGAGAAGTCTTGTAAGGGTAAAACAAAAATGATTGTATGATGTCTTTGATTTTTTTTTTTTTTTGTATTACCAGTATTTCAAGCGTGAACTGTGTGAGGAATACCTGGAGGCTCTAGCGAGGGAGCTGGCTGACCCCCAGGACCCAGGTATCAACCAGAGCTTTAACTACAGTCTCAACACATCTCTCCTACCAACCACACTCAGCAAGACAATCATACAATCAATTATCTCCTCGGTTAATAAAGAAGCAGAATTCCAACAAAAATGTAAGAATTATTGTTTGATAAGTTTAATTTTGGTAATAACAGATTTATTCCATCTTGATGTGTAATGTGAATTCATATTATGAGGTGTAACTTATGTAAAGGTTAGTGATTCACTTTGTATGCTGTATGAGGAAGTGTGTAGACTGTTTTACTGGCCGTATCTGCCCTTCTCTCTCAATTTCTATACCATTGTTTCACTAATCTCCCCTTCAATTTTCTCCCTTTTTGTGAGGTTTCGGTTTCCCATGACTACCCCATAAAAGTAAGAGGGGTAGAAAGATAGGCAAATACTGTTTATAATTTGTTTACATATTAATGTTGGAAATGAGCATGGGTGAAGGCCTGCAGGTGTCTGTGTGCCAGTTAAGACTCAGTAAACTCACTGGGATAGGACTTTCAGTGAATATTTAGCTTTGAAGAAGATTTATGATACTGTAATGTGGTTGAACATAGTGGGGAAAGAAATAGACTAGACAAATAATATGATATCAGTACAGTATGTGTATCAGAACCTGTAATGTATAGGTGAAAATTGTTTACATCAGTATACTGTATCTCCTGCACTGTTACCTGAAAACATTTACTTTTCATGTCACCAATATAATTCAGTCTGGTGTATAGTTGCTGTATACATTACTTTATTTCATGGCACATTGCACAAGCTGGAAAATATTTAAAGACCTCTAATGTTGAAGCTGTCCCTGCTAAACTGATGTTTTTGTTGTCAGTGATGAAGGGAATAACAGCTGTGAACCAGAATTTAGCCTGTGGCTCTCCATCAGACACATTGAAGGCTTTACTGGAATTAGGGCCAAATCTTCCTCCTATACTAGATTTTGCTGCACCACTTTACCATGAAGAGATGGCTGCCATTCGCTTGGATGCCCAGGTTGGTATAAGAATACTTTTGATTATATTGTTTGTCACTATCAAGTTGAAACTTCTTGAAATGCCACTGCTAAAAGAGGTTTATTATAGTCAAGGGGAATATTTCTTACTCTGAAGACTCATTTCCTTCCCTCAACAATATACTGTACTGTCTTTTAGTACATTCATAGTGTATTGATAACTTTGTGATTTGTCTCAAAAGTCAGTCAGCCTAGATTTTCAGTGGAAGTAATTTTATATTTCAGTATATCTTCTGTCGACATATCAGTTATTAGTTTTCCATCCATGTTATACTGTATTGTATCTTTGAGGTGTCTTGAAGTCTGAGTCACAAAAGTGTGTATGATGAACAATTCTTCTAACAGAAGGTGTATAATGCACCCACTGTTTGATTTAACATAAAGAATAAAATAGTACATTGATTTATCATTATTTTAGTGCACAAAACTCAGCCATCTAGTTAAGGACAAGTATAATTTTACTGTTATTATGATCCCTGTTTAATTTTTGAATTTTTTATTTATTTTTTATCTGAAGTCATGTATATACTGTAGATAGGTTGCATTCTATGTCTTCAGGTGTGAGGAATATCATTACATGAACCTTTGTGATCTGCACTGGAAAAGTCTGCTGAAATCAGATATCTTTAGGAAAACTTTTTTTTTTTGTTACACAGCCTCTAGTAAGTAATATTTCTGATTATGCATTAAAGACTACCCTTATTCTTTTTAGTGATAATTATAATTAAAAAACTAGACGATTTTATGGGTACTTATGTGTGTATTAACAGGACCCATTCTTCATGAACTTCTGTATTAATGTATTTGTCTTGGATGTGTGTAGTGTGAGAAGAAATCATTGTTGTTTAGATGATAATGTTTTCTTGAATTTCACTGTGTATTGTGTGTGTATATATTTCTTGTGCACCATTCCAGACTGACCTGAGCTTGGAGGAAATTCAAGGAGGAGTACGCCTACTGTCTGCTGTAGCACGGGTTAATGCTGCCCTTGATACTAACAACCCGGCTGAGGTGTGGCACTATCTCTCTGACTCCCACACACATCTTCAGGTGAGACTACAGTAAATGGCTCACAGTTGTATTAGTAAAGTAAAATTATCATTGTAGCATAAAAATATTGTTATAGCACAGAATCCCCAAGACTAAGAGGGTTACCAACCCTTTTATTATACAGTACTTCCCTAACTGGGGGGGGTGTGAAGCCATGTGAACAGCCATTTTTTTTTCTTCTAAAAAACAGCGTTCTTAAATACAGTGGTCCCTCGGTTAACGAGCGCCTCGGTTAACGAGTTACATTCCATAAGATTCTTAACTTCGGTTAACGAGCAATCCCTCGATTAACGAATTTCTTACGAGCTGACCTGAACATGTTTTCGCTTGCATTTCGCGGTCCACCAGCTGTAGTATTAGTCCGCCAGTACAGTGATCAATTCTAGGGCTTAAATTCCTTACCATTTTAGTAAATATCAAGAAGTTTATATTATTCAATAATTTTAAAAGTTTAATATTAAATTTTTTAGTAATTTTAACAATTAATGAACATGCCATCCAGCCTGCCAACACACCATACAGGCGTCAGTCTTTGTGTTTTTTCAGTGGAGGTAACATCTTGCTTGAGACTCTCTTCAACTAAATGCTTTTTTCTGTGTTTCCAAGCAAATTATTGGTCATTTTGAAATTTATTCTACATATTGACAATATATAATGCAGTGCAGTGTTGATTTAAAGAACATAATCTTGAATTACACCAAGAGAACTAAAATTTTATGGGTGAAATGGCACCTTGGGGTGACTTCTCTTCCACCCCAATGCCTTCTCTTCTCCTCCACCCCCATTCTAATTCTCATCATCATCATCATCCAGGATCCTTCTACATACACACCTCAAAGTAAGTTTACTTTTCTACCTTTTTTGTTGAATTTAGGCAATTTTCGGTGAGCTGGAACCAATTACCCCAAAACCCATTGAAACAATGGTTTCGGTTAACGAGCAACCTTCTAGAACGGATTGTGCTCATTAACCGAGGGACCATAGTATAGTCTAGCTTTACACCTAGGTATGTAAATGCCTAGCATTAACTCGCCAGGCCAACATACAAGCAATTAAAACCTCTAATAATTACTTAAATACGTAATATTAGGAGGACACGTCGCTACCTGGCATTTAATTGCAATTCTCAAGACCTCCTCCCACACCCTCCATCACACGCATTGCTACCATCATCTCTTGCCCTAGAGTGAGCAGTAAACAAATGTCAACTCTCAAGGGGTGGAGATGGGTCGGATGTCGACGTCGCATTCTGGACTTTATCACAAAACTGGTTTTTAGAAAAAAAATCGGCTTTTTGTTCAATCCAGAATGCGACGTCTAGCTTTGATTACCCGAGCAGGAGGTGGAGAGGGAGGTGACATTGCGTATAAGGCTCTGCTAGCTTAGGTCCGGATTATAATTACAGTGGTCCCTCGGTTAACGAACACAATTCGTTCCAGAAGGTTGTTCGTTAAACAAAAATTTCGTTAACCGAAATCATTGTTTCAATGGGATTTTGGGTAATTGGTTCCAGCTCACCGAAAATTACATACAAAATGAAAAAATATGCAGTAATGTACACTTACTTTGAGGTGTGTATGTAGAAGGCTCCTGGTTGATGATGATGATGATGGGAATTAGAAGTAGGGGTGGAGGAGAAGGGAGAAGAGAAGGAAGTGGGGGTGGAAGAGAAATCACCACATGCTTGATGCCGTCATTTCACCCATAAAATTTTAAGTTCACTAGGTGTAATTCAAGATTATTTTCTTTAAATCAACACTGCACTGCACTATATATTGTCAATATGTTAAATAAATTTCAGAATGACCAATAATTGTACTGTAAAAACATAAAAATACTCTGTGTTCAAGAGACACACAAGCAAGATGTTTCCTCCCCTAAACAGAGATACAAACTGACGCCTTGGTGGGTGAGTGAAGTGGCTGATGGGCGCACCAAAAACTAGTTCCCTGTACTGCAATTATGTTGAATAAGTGTTAAAATTACTAAAATTTTAATATAAAACTTGGAAAATTATTGATATTTACTCCAATTTTAACGAATGTAAGCCCTAGAACTGATTTCTGTATTCGCGGACTAATCTTCCAGCTGGTGAGCAAGCCAAAGCTTGTCAAAACATTTTCGTAAGAATTTCGTTAACCGAATTTTTGTTTGTTAACCAAATTGAATATTCTTATGGAAGGTAATTCGTTAACCGAGGGACCACTGTATAAACTCTTTGGAATATTTTCTAATATTAGGAACATTTACCGGAAGGTAAAATGTTAATTTACATATCCCAATTAGGATTCTTACTTGACTCCGATGAGGAAGAAGGAGGTCCTGGTTGTGGAGATTAACTAGGTGGGGGAGGGGACCCCAGTAATCACCACATGTGAAGCATCTTTCAGAGATAGATGAAGATAGTGGTTTTGAAAGGTTTTTGAGGATTTCCAAAAGCCCACTTCTTTGATCTGACTGAGGCTCATATGCCACAGAAAGCCCACAGACCCTGCATATTTCCTGGTGTCATGTGCCCAAAATTTTTGCTAGGGTCTGCTTGACTCACTGAGATAAATATTTTGTCATTTGACTAGGAGACAATTTCTTACCATCCTGTGATGAGAATACATGGGGCCTCAAGTAGGGAATTTGATTAACCATTCTTCAAGAATCTTAACTGGGCACAATATATGAGGAAACCTTGTCTCATCCATTAGCCATTTTATCCTGATAGGTTGAGCTGGAAAATCCTCCCTTTCATTTTTTCTTTGAATCTCCATAGGAAAAAGGGTGACATCTTCCTCAGAAAATACCAATAATGATGGATTATTAGAAATTGAAATCAGTTCACTGATTCTCACCTGTTGCTATTGCTAGAAGGAAGGCTGCCTTCTGGAGCAATCTATCCCGGTTCAGATTTATATTGTAATTACGCCCCAAAAGAAATTTAGTAACTTTATCTAGAGACCAAGGTGGGATTCTCTTAGGCCGAGGGGGTCTCTAGATGAAAAAGGATGATCTGAGCATTTGATAAATTCTTGGGTTCAAAGTAATATTAAAACCCCATGCCAGAGTCAACCAATGCTGATTTATAAAATGCAATTGTAGATCCTTGAAGGCCTTTAACTCTGAACAGAAAATCTAAAAATTCTAACACCACTGTATCCGACAATGTCAATGGAGTCGTTAACTTGATAAATTATTGAAAAAGTTTCCAAGCTTTCTCATATTGCATAAAAGTTTGGGGCCTATGACCTGCTATCACTTGGTTAACTATAATGGAATTACCTAACACTATTTAAACATCTTTTGAGAAACTCCAAGCGTGAAGTGCCAAGGATATCTCGAACTGAGGGTGCAGTACCTGGTCTAGAGATCCTTGTTGCAATTGTAGTGGATGCGGGCACCAATCCAACAGATCCAGTCACCACGGTTGTAGGATCCAATATGGTGCAATTAAAAGGACCTTTCCCTGGAAGGATCTGAGTTTGTGAACTACTTTGGGCAATATTTTCATGGGTGGGAACAGATAGATTGAATTCCAAAGGTTCCAATCTATAAGTAGAGCATTTCCTAAAAGATTCGATCGTTCCAGAGTTGGCATCTTGGGATTGTTTTGTGAGGCAAAGAGATCTATTTGTGAAGTCCTAAACCTCCTCACAAGATTCTTGAACTTTGATATCTTTAGGGACCATTCTGTTTCCGTCGATACTGGTCTGAGACGGGACAACGCATCTGCCCAATTGTTTTGTACTTCCGGTATGTGAGTTGCTTTGAGGTAAAGTGTGTGTTACACAAACTTTGATTTTTTTTTTTTATTACAGTGTGAGAAGGGGCCAAGATCTGGTTGAGCCTTAATGATTGAGACAAAACACTGCTGCTCTGTTGTCCATGGCAAACAGAAATGACGTGTTTTTTAAATTTGTGTTTGCCAACAAAAAGAATAGGACTATGTTTATGTGTTTGTCTCAAAGGGAGTTGCTCCACTTCCCTTGACGGAACTCTCCATTTGAGGAATGGTATCCTCATCCTATCTCAAACACGTCCGTACAAACGACCAAGTCTGTTTGAGGGGGAACCCAGGGAGATGAACCAATTAAATTGTTCAAATTTGTCCACCATGACAGATGAATCTTTATCTGAATAGGGAGAGAAGAAGCAATATTATGTTTCTGTGAAGCAACTTTGACCCCAGATGAGTTAGTTGCTTCTTCCTCAATGTGCCCAAAGGAACTACTATGGTGGCAAAATTCAACAGACCCAATAGTTTCTCCCAATCGTGCCAAGAAACCTCTTGCTTTACACAAAAGACTTCTACTTGGTTTATCACATCTGTTACCTTTGCTTCTGGTAGACCGACTGACTGCTTATTGATTTGACCTGGTTTATCTTTAATCCTAGATTTTGAACTAGTACTAGTGTACATTGTGTCGCCCATTGACAGTCTTTGAAAGAGTTTTCCACTGTCAGTCAATCGTCTAGATAAGCAAAAGTTCTTATGCCCTCCTTCGCAAGGATCTCCCTGGGAATGTTCACCAGTTTTGTAAACACTTTTGGTGCAATTATTAGGCCGAATGGCATCACTGTTAATTGATAATTTACATCCCCCACCACGAACACTAGAAACTTACTGTACCTGGGAGCAACAGGCACGTGAATATATGCATCTTCGAGATCCACTTTTAAATTGTTGCTACCTTTCTTGGGGACTGAAAACAGGCGAGACATGAAACACTTCTCTGACTGCAACAGTTCTATCACACCTCTGTTTAACAGTTTAGTTACAAATTCTATGAGTAAGGGGGGTTGCTTTTTGACCCATTTTTGGTAACACTAGGGGAGGGTGCCTAAATCAAGTCCATGTGAGGGCCCCCTTTTATTGTCTTGTAAGCCCATATGGAAGAAGTCCACCTGTTTTCCCAACCCCCTAGACGACATAGCTGTCTGGCTTTATTGGGAGGGAGTGGTCACTGATGTGGAATAAGGCCTCCTTCCACTTCTGAACAAACGGCCACCCTTACTACATTTTGAATTGTTAACCACTCTAAAGTTTCCTCTAGGTTCATAACTGAACCTAGCAGCTGGTCCTGTTCCCCTGTTAGACCTTCCTCTTTTAAATTTCCAAAAAGTCTTAGAACTCCTGGGGACAGTAATATGAATAGCTTGCTCAACAGCTGATCTATACTTAACTAATGCTCATTCCCAAAACAAAGCAGGAGAAAGAGTGGAAGAACGTAGCAATAAATAAGCACTACCACTTGAAACATTATTCGTGGCTTGCTTCCTTGGCTGGGCTTTTAGTTTTAGGGCTTTCAACAACATTTCCATAAATGAGTTGTACAGGGAATATGGAATCCCTTGTATAGCAGCAGCAAAACATCTGTCTACTTCTGAACTGTCCTCATAGTCCAGCACCAACTTAGTCAATAACAGACACATCATGATTGCAGACCAAATATCCGCTGCCAACTTCCTAAATTTGAACTCTTCCTGCAACAGTGCAGAAGCAACTGGATCAAATTTATTTCATAGCTTAATGTCCGCATATTTTGCAGCTGACAAATACTGCGAAGTTCATATAAGGAACTCTTTTTGTCATTGCATTGGAAATTAAAAAAACTAAAGCATTCCTATCTGAGGGAATGAATGTTAAATCTTTCAATATATTAGGCCAGACTTAATCTATTTCAGAGATCATTTTCAGACAAATATCAGGCCAAGAAATTGTAGTATCGCCGTCTAAAAACAATGAATTATGACAGTTGCTTGGCCTTACTGTCTCTTTATAAGTGCTGGGAGATCAGGAAGTTTAGAAATATTTTCATAAGGAATCCACAGACTCGGACATGGTTGAAAGCAAAGAAGACTTAGGTCTTACCAATGTTACCCCGGGCCTGTTTGGATCATCCCTACACTCAATGTTCTCCATCAGCTGCGTGACAGATGACAGCAGTCTGTTTCCACGCATAGTAACCAACACTTTTGCCCCAGGTGGAAGTGATTGCCAAAATGGGGACAGGATGAAGTCAGTCTCAACAGGTTCTTCTTGCTCTAGTGACTGAACACTATTAGTGCCAACTTCCTCATCCTGATTCTGGAATCCACTAAAATTGGGCTGAATAGGTAGAGGCTCTTGCCTCAAATATCCAATAACCTCCTTTTCGTAGCAGAAGCAGGTGAGTCTAACTGGGGGTTAAGTCTCTTACCTATCACCCATAATTCTAAACTTTCTGCCAACTTGGGATCTTTCCATTGTTTAACATTTAGAATTTTACTCTTTAAGGCCTTATTCCATCTATTTTTATATTAGATCTTTGATAATTCCTTCTTATCTCCTGCAACTTGATTAATCCAATGGTGAAAACAGGTTGTCTGAGACACAGCTGCCATGAATTATGCAAGCCAAATGAGGATCTAACTTGGTAATCCAAGTGGCTCTACATCCTTAATAGTTACATGTAGTATGGTCCCCTTGGGTCCTGGGTGAAACTACTACTACTGAACTCACATCTTTGTATGTAGTGTATGAGCCTGAGCTCTCCATTCCTTGCAGCTCCTCACTCAACACTAGTTCCCTAGGAACAGTTACATGGTCTCCTCCATCATCTAGCAGTCCAGACAACTGTCCTTCATCCTCCAGTTGCACATCACTCATCTAAACCAGGAGGAACATTATGAGTCACATTGTATCATCATAATAATACAAGGGAGATAACAGTTTCTCCCAAACATAATCAATATGACTCTTAACTGATATTTTACTAAGTTATTTCATATAATATCTCTTATTGTTATATAAGCCACCAGTGTGACAATCATAAACAACTAACTCACTATATCATACACCTCTCCCTTGTAATGAGGGGGATTTTTCGTAGAAAGTATAGATAGAATATTTAGTTGTAGGAATGTAAAGTGAGGAAGTTTGGTAGCGTGGCCGGTTAGTTATTTAACTGTAAATACGTTCTTAGGGGAAATCTTTCTCTAAACACCGCTTTCATTACAACTATTTATTATTCACTCAATGACAGACATATTAATAGGACATTATATTTACGTTACTAGACATAAACATGAAATGGAAACGCTTCCCAGCGTAAGTAACTCACCCTATGGATAGCTCTGACGATGACTCATGTGTGACCTGAGGGAGGCCCAGCAGGTGCTGTTGAAGAGAGTGCTGGACTATGTCTCCTCTGGGAGATTCTGCTAGCTGGAGACGCGGTGCTGGGAGGGAAGTCTCCTTCCCGATCTCGACTAGTGACAAGTGTGACTCCGTCTTCTGTCTTCAGTCATGTGAGAGTAATGCTCGTAGAAGGGCTGCAGGGCCTTTATATTGAGGAGAGCCGGCAGATGACCTCTCCTAATTAACACTAAACTGGTTAGATCTAGACTGCTGTGTTTGTTCAGGTGCGTGGTCATGTCGCCGCTTGGTAATGCTTCCTAATTATTACCACCCGGGTGTGTCTTGGCTGGGTGTGGTTTCTTTAACACGGTCATGTCGCCGGGTTAAGCTAATTGCATGGCTGTGAGGACTCTGGGTCAATGTGACTGACCTCTCCTGGGTCAGGCCTGGACAGCTGTGTTTGCCCAGTTGTAGTTGTAACACGGTCATATCTCAGGGTTAACTCAAGTACCTTGTCTGTGACCTCTTCTGTGTCAGGTCTTACTGTCACTGTAGGGTGTGTCAACCTATGTGGGTTACCACGTGGGAACCTACTTACTGTTATATGTGTTGTTCTTCTCTGGGCTGTAAGCTATGGTCTGATAAACAATCATTACACCCTTCTCTTATCTTAATTATCCCTCAGCTCAATGAACTTTGTTTTTTAATCAAGCTAACTTCATTTTAGAGTATTTATATTTTGAGGGATCACCAAGTCCTTTTTTTGTTGCCAATCAGGGTGCACAGACAGTACCGCTTCAACTAATCATGCTTGAGCGATGATGCCTGAGTGAGCATCAAGTCACCTGGAAGGGTTGACAGTGCTGAGCTGCTAGCATAGCGCTCCATTAGCTAACATAGTTCACCATTACTCTAGCAAGATGTATCGGGTTGAGAATTCCACCCTGAATGGTTCTCATTTAACCCATACTGAGGATACTAGGTTCATTTTTGGCATGGCGAGTTAATGCTAGACATTTACATACCTAGGTATAAAGCTAGATACCGCTTTATGGTTTGAACAAAATACATATATTTACAATATTATTTCTTCATGTATTGGGAAATATTCAATAAAATTTTATAATTTTATATGCACGAGGTACATGGATAAAATAAGTATAAGTTAGTTGATGTTGAAAGTAATATAAATTCTAGTACAAGGTGTAAAATTGGTTAAAAATTAGTAAATTTATTTAAAAAAATGGGGGATGAGGATTTGTTAATAAGTAAAATGAAGGGTTGTGCAAAAAAGTTTGGGAACCACTGCCTGAGTCAAATAGATAGATGGGTAGATCATTAGATGGATAGATCATATCATCTTTACTGGATATTCCTGTTATCTAGAGTTATAGTAAGACTAGTTAATAGTCTAAAAGTATCTTTGAATATTGTAATTTCAAATCTGATTCAAGCAGTGACCAAGCATTAACTCAGTGTGCCAGTTATATCAAAATTGTAGTAGTGGATCATGCTACATTGTGGGTCTACTGTAGAACAACACATCTGAAAAGACATGAAAACAATTGAGGGAGAGCCTGTGTTCTCCTTATTTCAGCCATCAGCACCATAGTGAAAAAATAAATGGTTACTTTGATGATAAACTTTTCAGAGCCTGGAAGAAAGCTATGCTCGGGAGTACTGCTCTGCCATGGACAATGCCCGCCAGTCCAAGATATCGTCTGATGAGTTGTGTCCCTTCCTCACTTACTTTGACCTCCAACAAATTGTAGATGATGTTAATTTGAGGCTGCAGGAGGTTAACAATAGTAAGTTTTCATTGTTTAAGCTATTCTTGTCAACTAACTTCACTCCATTTCCACTTATTCTCAGTTCATGATAAACAAAGTAAACTGTAGATATTCATATTTAAATGCCTGTAATTATTGAGTTTATTCATCATATTTTCATTTACTCGTCCATCTTCACATATTTTTATTTTTAGAGGTTGGAGCACTAAAAGTTGTTAATGGAGCTGTGGGTGGAGGTGATGTAGAGGGGTCAATGGCTGCTCTGAGACACCCAGCTCTTAAATTATCCTCTCTGCATGCCAAGGACTCTCTTCACTACTACCAGCTCCTTAAGGTATGCTGTATACAGAGTAGGTATCATTACAAACACAATACAGTATGTGCAGTAAGTGAAAGAACTTTAGGAAAAACCTCAAGTGAAGGGATAATTTTCCGACGGGTGTGAATGCAACGTAAAGATGATGATATTTGTTTCAAAATTCATTTTGTTTTCATACAGTAGTAAGAAAGGGTATATTTTGTGTTCAAATAATATAATGGAAGTGAAAGATTGTAAACATTAGGTTATTTTTTCATACATGGTATGTCATTTTCAGATCATTCATAGTATGTTTTCACTTTTACTTACAGCTACTTAAGGATGCTAAATGTGAGATGCTGGGAGACAATGCAGCAGAACTGTGGCTGGAGGACATTGTAGAGGTTGTTGATGCGGTGCGGAGACATGCAGAAGAGTCGTCCAGCATGGCAGTGATGATGGCTAGGGTGAACAATGCTTTGGCAGCTGGAGGTGATTCTATCATTATTGATGTTCTCAGGTAAATTTTGGTCTTCGTAATTGTTGTATTTTTCTCTACTTTAATGATGTTTTTCTTACTTCCACTTATTTATTTTTGTGCTGTAATACAGGCTGGCTGGAAATAAAAGAAGACACATCCACACAAAATCATTTTGAATGCCATATGTACTCTGATACAGTAGAACGTTGATTTAAAGCGACACCCACAATTAAGGACAAAGTTTTAATTTAATGCGAATATTTCCTATTTTGCATGAGTCAATCTGGCGCATCATATTTTAAATTTTGCGCCTAATGTTTCTCTGGGCACGCTACACGGCTGCCCGCCACCCTCTCACACCCTCCCACATGCTCAGTTCTCACACTGATGCTCTAGTGAACGGACATATTGTGTGACACTATCTCCTTCTACCACGTGCATCAACCATGACCACTGTGTCCATGAGGCCAGCTACTACATCATTAGCTACCCCCCAGGTCAAGAAATGGGTCGTACACGCACCAAACGCTAGCCTGCCAAAGCTCCACCCCCTCCATCCAAGCTCTGTCTCCATAAGGTTTTTCAATTAATATTTTTGGCTCAATATATGTAACTTTATTCGTTTATTTTTACCTATTTACATGCACACACTGTCCTAAGGGCAAAGCTGTACAGGTGCTCCTCTACTTAAAATATTCAACTTACAAACTTTCAGAAATAAAAACATCATCACTGAGGGAGGTTACCTGTCAGAACAGGTGTTTAATGTGGATGAGACTGGATTATTTTGAAGAAAATTCCAGATAGGACAAGCATTGTCTAAGAAGAGAAGAGTGAGCCAAGTTTTAAGGCTGTATTAAAGGGTATAGCTGAACTAAATATCCATAATCTTTTAATTTTTTACATTATGTTTGGTATCTACAAGAGTAAAGTTGGACTTACTAACAAGCCTCAGGAACGTAACTCATTCGAAGTAGGGGAGCACCTGTACTGTACATGTACTCAAAATAATAATGTAATAAATGATTTCTAAAATTTTTGTCTAGTGCAAACTATAGCATGTTTATATTCAAATTAATCAGTATCTATAAAAATTCCAGCAAAGTAAATTAAATTCTCCCAGGTCACTTCTGTGACATTTATAAGCAAAAACAAAAACTCAATCTTAAGGACATAAATGAACAAATAAATAAATACTTCACTAGACCTTCGGCACAACTGTCAAACTTGCCACTGTCACTCCCCCCCCCTCCTTCCATCTTCCCAGCCAGGGTTTGGTGTTTTAGACCTAAAGTCCTTATCATATATAATATCAGACTAAAGTTAGGAGAATATAATTTGCATTGCTGAAATCCTTGCAAGACAGCGAATAATTTTAATATATATGTCATATACAGTATTTTGCACAAGACATAAAAATTTGTGCCCTTTGTAATAAAATTTTTAATTAGAACTAAAATTTGCATGTCTAATGTGAACAATAGCATGTTTATATTCAAACTAATTACTATCTTACAAGAATTCCAGCAATGTTAATTATATTCTCCCAGGTCAGTTCAGTGACATTTTATAAGAGAAAAACTTAAGGACAGATAAATAAATAAGCACTAGACCTTGGCATCAACTGTCAAACATATCACCTCACCTCCCCTCCCCCCATCTTCCCAGCCAGTAAACAGACCATTTTTATCCCTTAATTTTAGCTGTGTTGATTTATGAGTGTTTGTTTTAACATAATACTACAAAAAACAATGTTTTGTTTATTCTAGGAGATGGGCTGAGGTGCATCTGGGTAGACTGTCAGTATTTTTAGTATTTTGTGTTTCTCTCAAGTACCAAACTAAATTATTCCATTGAAACAAACACTTCGATTTAGTGCAAATTCGGTTTAATGCGACCTCTCTTGGAACCTATCTCGTGTTATATTGATGTTCTACTGTACAGTATACTAAATGGCACCCCTTCAGCCACTATCACCACACTGCTGGTCCATTACCACTCGGGTGGAAGTGTTATCATTTGAGGCCCCCCGCATTATAAGGTTCTTTCAGACCACCCGGGCGAAACCCGTTTTTTGTTGGAAAGCACTATTTTCGGCCAAGCTCTACATGATGGTAGTGGATAAGATCTTACTAGACTGTAAATAAGGTTGAAAGCCCTTTGAAAATAGGATGTAACATCGATTTGTGGCTGACAGGAAAGTATGGGCTTGGCTTTCGCGTTGTCAGGAGCTCTGTCCCGTGGGTGAGAGAAGCAGGCGGCCAATCATAGCAGCCGGCCCGCAGCCTCCTCCCCTGTATCCGCCAGTGATAGTGAGCGTCTGCTATCTAATTCACTGCCCCTCCAGCCAATGAGCGCTGAATTCCTCTCCCTGTCTCCCTCAGTTCTCTTTTGTTGTGGTGGGATCTACACTGATATCGATTAAAGCAAAAAGGCCACAAGTGGTTGGGAGTTTTGTATCTTCAAGTCAACTTTGCAACAACCCAGTACATTACTCCATGATGCACTACCTACCATCTACAAGAACGGTCCTTTAGCTTCAAAATGCATAAAAAATGAATGCTGTATCTCAAAAAACAACAAACTTATGCTTGTTAGAAGTTGGAAAAACTTTAAACGCAGTTTTCTCGGTTTAAAATTTTGGCGCGAGTAACTTTTACGATGCAGGGGGCCTCATTTACAGTGTTCGGTTCTGTCACATACTAATTAATACTACAGTGCAATGCATTGTGTTTTCATATTACTGTATTTAGTTCTTTTAAAGCAATGCACAACTTTTATTTCATTGGAGTGTCATATGGTTGCAGGATATGAATTTTTGTCTGAAAAAACTAACTTCTCATCAATGAAGATGAATGGTGAGGAAAAAATAGACTTTGGAGTAGAGCTTTGGCATGTGGGAGGGATTACAAAGCCCATAAATGTATGTTATCATCATCACACTTCTCTGTTGGAAGTTATATGTTTTTCAATTTTTGACCCCCTCCCTACTTTTTTTTTTATTTATGTAATTTTTGGACCATTCTGTTGACTGAGGTTTTCAAATGTTTGAAATTTTGATATGTCAGGCTGTACTGTGTTGTGTTGACAGTTTCACAATTCTTTTCACAGGTCTCCAGATTTGACACACCTACACATCAAGAACAACTACATGTTGGGGGTCCTCACTCTGCTCAAGAAGACATACAGAGAGAAGGAAGCAGTACCGACCAGATGCCCCTGGCTCCCTTACTCTCTTAATGATGGCTCTGAGGTTGGTGTGAGGAAGTGATTCTTTATTGGGTTTTTAAAATTGGTTGGTAATTAATACTTTTACCCACCTAAACTTTTCTGCTACCTAGTATAGTGAAATTTGCTTAAGATCACTGTCTCTTGAGCTTTAACACTTTGGCGGGCCAATGACGAATATTTATCAACCAAAAAACTCCTGTTAGTGTTTTGGTGATGAAAATATTGTCTTTGACTTAAAAAACTCACCAAAAATCGTTTTATCGCGTGATTTCCATGGTCCAAATCTGAAAGTGTGCGCCAATGTCTTCCCATTTTTGCCGCACAACTGTGGTGGACGTGAGGTGTCAGGATAATCGTCCTTGGGCCTGCAAGCATCAGTGCGTCCTAAGAATTTACGGCGTATAGATGCTATCCACTTCTTTGTGATATTCACTAGTATGTTGGTGTTAGATTTAATTTCGTTTGTATAATAGTATTGTAGAGCAATTCTTCACTATGTATTTAGCAAAAAATTAAGAAATTTACACATACTGTACATTATAAATTCTTATTTGAATAAAAATTATGGCAGTTACATTATGAATAATCAGTTGAAATTAAGAGATGTTCTATGCTTCTGGAATTTTACTTAAGTTCATTCACTGTCTGTTCAAACTCATTAAAGTTCTATTAGAGAAAAGGAAGTGAGGGTCTGTTATGATGTGATAACAGGATTTACATCTAAGTTTGTTCAAGCTGCTGGTGTTTCTATTTGATCTTGTCCACAAGTCTGAGAGTCAAGTGGTTTGGTCTGTTTAACATTATTGGTCTTTATATACAGTTTGAAATAAATTCAATTCATATTTTCTCTTAGTGACCTCTACCTAGTTTTTATTTTTTGCTTACTACTGTACCATTCTTACTATCTCTGGATATTGTTTTGTCTTCCTCTTTTCTCTATACTTCAGTGACATCTGACCTAAGCTGTTGCATCGCCAGGGATGTAATTAACACAATCAATCAATCAATTTCTCTATACTTGGTACTTATCTGTTTATTGATGTGTGTTTTATCAAAATTTCCACACACTACACTTTAGTTAACCAGAATCCCCAAAGACTACACTCACACAATACTGTATGACACTAGGTGAGCTGTATTGTGGCATATTGTACTGTACTAGATTTACAGTATACAGTACTTTATTTTATTGCAAAATTATTTACGGTAATCTACGCCAAGTTGGTACAAATTAAGTTTTTTGCAGGTGTTCTTGAACTTGAAATCTGGTAAATATCAGTGGGAGAAGCCAGAGGAGGTGGTGGTGGCCCATCAGAGCAGATATGTAACACAAGTGGACCTGGAGGAGGCTGTAGCATGTGTCATTCAGCAAGAAGCTCACAATAAGCAGGTTGGTTTATTGAGTACAGGGTATTTGGTAAATATCCCAAAGCTACTCTTAAATTTTGTTATGTACTCATACCAAGTTTTAAGACCCAAGAAGGCAACACCTTCTTACTATAAGATGTTACATTTGATTTGTGTATATTAAATGTACAGTCCACGGCACTTGTAAGCCCCACAGAGTGGCAGCCTCAAAATTCCTAACTGGCAACTTCCATTGGTCTATTCTTACCCCACCTCCAACAGACAATCCAGGCAATTAATCGGTGGTCTTATACCTAGGTATGTTAATGCCTAGCAATAACTCGCCAGGCCAACATACAGGCAATTAAAACATCTAATAATTACTTAATAAGTAATATTAGGAGGACACGTCGCTACCTGGCATTTAATTGCAGTTCTCAAAACCCCCTCTCGCATAACAGATGGACTTCTTCCATATGGGCTTACAAGACAATAAAAGGGGGCCTCACATGGACTTGGTTGAGGCGCCCTCCCCTAGCGTTACCAAAAAGGGGTCAAAACCCAACCCCCTTCCTTACAGAATTTGTAATTCAACTGTTAAACAGAGGTGTAATAGAACTGTTACAGTCAGAGAAATGTTTCATGTCTCGCCTATTCCCAGTCCCCAAGAAAGGCAGCAACAAATTGAGATGGATTTTGGATCTTTCAGTCAAATTGCAATTAAATGCCAGGTAATTGCGTCTCCTCCTAATATTACTTATTAAGTAATTATTAGATGTTTTAATTTCCTGTGTGTTGGCCTGGCGAGTTATTGCTAGGCATTAACATACCTAGGTATAAGCTAGGCGTCGCATTCTGGACTATATCACAAAACTGGTTTTTAGAAAAATCTCATTCCCGGAAGTGCTCTGCACCAATTGTTCCGGCTAACGGGATGTCACTGTATTATTATTATTATTATTTATATTAAGTTTTATTAATTTTATGATTATTATTATTATTATTTTATTATATTTTTGCCCCCCAGGCCTTGGTGTGGGTCATAAAATGACCTGTGCCCGGGTGGGCTAATGCCCGTAAAAGAAAAAAAGTAACATGTTGGGGGTAACCATTGACTTTACTTACACATATCCTTAATTTGTGCATTGAGGACTTCTTATACTGAGATATAAAGCAAAACTTCAACAGAAAATTATAAAATTAATTGGGGAAATTAATTATCAAATTTTTAAACTCCAGTGACTGTTAGAACAAATATCAGAATATCAACTTTTTGACCACAAATTTATAATCTTCATGTCAAGGAATACTTATACAGTACTGAGATTTAGAGGACAATTTTTCAGCTCCAAGGAATACCTATACCAGGGGTGTCAAATTAATTTGCCAAGGCGGGCCAGATTTAATATGAGTACACAGTATGCGGGCCAAGTAACATAATTATGAACACTTCGCAATCACCTCTCAGGTAAGTAGTATGACAAAATAAGAAAGGTGGATTTAGTCTGTGCTCATGCAAAACCCTTACAAACAAACAAATCAAGTGTTTACTTACCTTGATCAATCTTATTGTTTACTACTGCTGCTTCCTGATAATTGGCACCTCTTGGTATGGACCAGTGCATCAAAGTTTGGCACTAACGACTGAGCTGTCGCAACCTTCAGTATTGAACTAAGGTGCGCATCAGTAAGTTGAGACCGAAGCCGAGACTTGTTCAAGTTCATCACAGAAAAGAGTTGTTCACAGACATATGCCAAACATTGACATAATCTTTGAGGCAAAACATTTAATCCTGGGATAATTTGGTCCAAAATATTGATAAAATGTGCCACCATCAACACTCGAAAACTTGTTCCTCAACACAGAATCACACTGGAGTTCAATTAATTCTAACTGAAGTTGTTCTGGTACCTCATTAACACCAACAGAGAATGGGTCCCGAAAAATGGAAAAATCCTTCTCAAGTCTTTTAAAGTCGGCAAATCTTTCTTGGAACTCGTTTATTAATTTGGAAATCTTGATGCAGTACTTTTTTGTGTTGATATCAGCATCAAACTCAGGTGTGCCTTGCAGGGACTTCAAGGTCGGAAAGTGAGAAAGATTACTCTCTGATAGTTGCTGTTCAAAAAGCTGATGTTGATTGAGTATTTTGTTCTAGGAAACAGCAGACTATTTTATTCTGCTGAGGGATACACTCGCTATTTAGTTCTAGCTCCTCAAGGTAAGGCTGGAGCAGCAAATGGGCCGCGGGCCTCATGCATGAGTGTGTCGGGCCGCATGACACCCCTGACTTATACAGTAAAACCCCATAATTCATACCACTCTAATTTGAAACATTTTGAAATATTACGATACATATTAAAATTTTCATAATATTTGGTAAATTTTGAATTGCAAGACATTTATGAATATACAGTATAGACACTAACGTCACCATGGGATGTGACTGCTGACTGTCTATCTCAGTGTAAACAACGTTCAGGTACTATACTATAGCCTAGGATTAAAGACAGTAAGGATAGATCATCGAGCACTTGTTTTACCCATAATGCACAGCTCAGTGACGTCACTGTTGTAAACACGCGTCATCTGGTAACCTCTGTGTGTGCCCGCGTCTGCTCCCGGTACCATTGTATCAATAATTATGGTTATTTGTCCAATATATGGGTGCACATGCAGAGTACATCAAGTATTACAGATATCCCAGAGATAAGAAAATTTGTGATAAAAGGATAAATGCCTGCAAGCATTCTGGTAAAATAAACACATTAGCGAGCCAAGAACTTGTTTGAAGAGAGCTCATATTTCATTTGTATCTCCTTAATTCTGGAATGTTTGTCAATATCCAGGTATCTACAAGAATGTGATACATTCATCTTGCTGTATGTGGCCAAAAAGAACTGAACGTCTTCGATGATCTTGAAAAAATTAAAGGGAACTACAGTGGTCCCTTGATTAACAAACGGTCCAATTAACGAAAGGATTTTCACTTCCATTAACGAACAAAACTTCGATTAACGAAAGCCTTACGAGAAACATGATTTGTTGTGCTCATCAGCTGATCGGCTAGTCCGCCAATGCAGTAATTGGTTCTATGTTTACATTCTTTTCCAGTGGAGTAAATATCAGGAAGGTTGTGCTCTTTAATATTTTTGCATTTTTATATTAAAATTATAAGTCATTCTAAAATTTAGTTAACATGTTGATAATATATGCAGTACAGGGAACAGTTTTTGTGCGCCCATCAGCTGATTGACTCGCCCACCAAAGCTTCTCTGTTTAAGTTTGTTTACAGTGGAGGAAACATCGAGTTTGTTGGTCTCTTGAATATTTTTGCATTAAAATTATTGGTCATTCTGAAACATTCTACATACACACCTCAAAGTAAGTGTACAGTACTTTACTGCATTTTGTTTATACTTTGTATGTGCTTTTTTTTTGTGAGTTGGAACCAATTACCCAATATCCCATTGAAATAATAGATTCAGTTAACAAAATTTATGGTTAACGAACGACTCTGTGGAACCAATTGTGTTCGTTAATCGAGATGTTCACCGTACATCCGTACGTGGGTTTTAGGTGTCAACACCATGCTTGTTTCAAGATGTGAGGGAAGATTTCTTGTACTTTCTTAATTATGCAATGTCAGTCAATATCGGGTCATCCAGAAGACAGTGAGACATAGTTCTTACCACATCTGACAAAAACAATAAAAGCCGGTTCATTCATGTTGGTCCGTCATTGAGTGTACATCCATAGTTTATCACGCAAGCTTTTATTCCACAGAAGTACTGTACAGGTTCTTAGAAATTTTAAAATTTTGCTTGGGGAAGATAATGGAATTGTACTGTGCCGTTGTTTTTGCTTCTTTTTTTATTCCCTCAGAAGGTGTCCCACATATTTCATAAAATCTTAATTCATAAGATATTTCTAATTATGGGGGTTTTACTGAACATACAAAATTTTTAGTAAAAAAATGTTTTGGACCCAAAGACTATTTTTTAAATTTCAAACTCCATTGTAAAGTCAACGCTTACCTCCAACACGTTAGCTTGGATAAATAACTTTAAAAGTTTATTTTCTTTGTTTCTAAAACTTATTCATACTTATGTGCTAAGGGCTAGGCATTGACTTTACACCTTGGCTGACTACCAATTAGTTGCCTGGAGGTGGGGGAGGTATGTATCCAGCAAAGTTGCCAATTATAAATTTAGAGGCCGCCAGTCCGTGTGACTTACAAGTGGCTGCTGGTAGTGAAGGGCCTGTATTCACTTTGGTCAATTACTTCAAGTCTGATTGGATGATTGAGATGTGATAATAGCAATAAATGTAATCTTTTATATGAAATATGTTAAAATACAAATTGTGCTGCTTCATTCCTCAAGGCTTTTCTCGGAGTAATAAAATAAGTTATTGGCAGTAAAGAGATTCATGAAGACCCTTCTTTGGAAAATTCTTAAAGTTGCAATGTTTGATATCAGCATGGCTGGTTTCTACACTTTGGCTACACGCCTGCATTCTGTTGTTGCATGTTCACTGTTGTTGAAGGAATGAGAGTCAAATTTTCATCTATACCGTACCTTTGTGATCTTCCATCTCCAGATCAGAAATATTAAAAAATAAATAAAATCTGTATATATAAATACAATATAATATACCTCTTGCTCAGTTGGACAGATTGGTGGTGAGACTCCAGGCAAGGGCACGAGGCTGGCTCACTAGGCAGCACTTACTCAGACAGAAATATGCTGCCATCACCATCCAGGTTAGTAGACATTCATTGAATCAAATATTTTTTTTATTTGCTTCTACAGATCGGACTATACAGTTTAATGGTATGACTTTTCCTGACTGAAATTTGTAGGTGTCCAGGCAGTCCCTAGCTTCTGGCAGCTTTAATTTTGGTGGTTCTTATCTTCCTTCTCTTCATTATCAAAGTCGTCTGCAGCTTCATGTACAGAGTCCACAATCTCCTCTTCTGTCAAGTTGTGGTATCCAGAATCAGCCAAGCCTCCACATCCCCAACTGTAGCATCCTTCTCTCCTGCTTCGAGAAGGGTTCTGTGGCAGTCTTCTGATGTGAAGCCCTCATAATCATGCTCCTCATAAATTTCATAAAGGAGCTTCTTCTAGGCATCGATGAGGGTTGTTGTCTCGACTTCTTTTTCAGCAGCAGCAAAATTAGAGAGCATGGACCTGAAGTTGTATAACCAAGTTTCTGAGGGTCCTCTGCCCTCTTGTGTCCTCCACCTGATCCTCGCTTGTCTCTTCCACCACCATCACTTCATCCCAAAACTTGGGTTTGTACAGCCTTTTTGCAGCATAAATAACACCTTGATCCATTGGCTGTATGACAGAGGTGGTGTTGGGTGGCAATACCTGGCACCTGCTTCACTGTTTTTCAATGTTGAGATGTGAGGTAGCATTATCTTAGAGGAGGATAGCCTTCACTTCATCAGCAGGGATTTTCAGATCGTCCACCTGCTCACGTCTGATCTCCACCACAGCATGTTTGAAAAACCAGTCTGATGTTATGGTTCCAGTAAACCATGCATAATGTCCTTGATTGCGCGAGGTTTCTTGTTCTTTCCTACAACCACAGGTGTAAGCATATGGCTCCCATCAGCATTTGCACACAGCAATGCAGACACTCGTTCCTTGGAAAGTTTACCACCAGACACACTTTTTCACTTCTAGAGGCTTGTGTATTTTCTGGTAAAGCTCTCCAATAGAGTCCAGTTTCATCTGCATTGTAGCTGGCATAATCAAAGGTTTTCAGCTTCCATTAAGTCCTTCAACATTTTCCTAAATGGTTCCACAGCATCAATATCAGCACTGAGCCTCTCCCCACATATTTTCTTATTCACAATATTGTGGCGCCCTCGAAATCTAAATAACCAACCAGCACTAGCATGAAAATCCTTTGCATTCATATATTTTGCTAACCTTTCAACAGCTGCCTGGATTTCCACACCTGTGGCTGTTATTCCATTTGCATGTAGCTGTATGTACCATTTATACACTGCCTCTTCCGAGCCCTCATTCTCTTAATGCCAGATTATTCCTGGTTCACATTAAATTTCAAGGCTATTTGCTCAACATATCTTTCGATTTTCGTATACCCGACACTGACTGCTTTGAAATTCTGTATTCCGCGCATATTTGCGAGGGAGCAGCACCTTTTTCTAGCCATTTTGAATGGTTAGAGTACAGTTTTAGAGCAAAAGCAATTAAGCACACACGAATGATGTGAAGTCATAACAGAGACTGGCTTGGCGTCGCTTGGGAGACGCTGTGACGTTGCGCAATGAGGGCAGTGCGCCAAGCCGAGAGAGCATAGCGCGGCCAGACGAGAGCGGGCGATGCGCTGTAGAAAGTAGTCCGTGACGACGCAAAACAACGTAGTATCGGATCACCTGGACGTTAAACGAATTTTTGGTCCCTAAAGTTTAGCGACGTAGTACCAAAATAATGTTAAGCGGAACGACGTTATACGAGGACTTACTGTATTTCATTAGGGAAGTAAAGCAGATACACTTTATAGTAATTTTACAAAGTACAGTAGTGGGAATCTAGAAATTAACTAAGTACAGGGGGCCCCCCAAATTAACGGGGGTTCGGTTCTCAAAATGGCCGCAAATCACCAAATCCGCGAACAACATTTGTGGACTGGGGGGGGGGGGACGTACATTTTTACTTTTGTACAAAGAAATGTATATTCCCTTTATGTGTTTGACCTTGTATATATATATATATATTTATATATATGTGTGTGTGTGTGTGTGTGTGTGAAGAGACGCATACAAATAAATAATAATTGGAATATCCTCTCACAAATAATTAAAAATAATTATTACAAATGTGTCAGTCTACCCTCAAGTCTGTGCTCTATTAATAAAGTACTGTACTGTAATAGAGAACGGACTTGAGGGTAGACTGTCACATTTTTAAAAAATTTGTTTCTGATTATTTGAGAGTATTTTCCAATTATTATTTATTTATGTGTGTTTTGTGTGTGTGTGTGTGCCTACACACACATATTTACAATACAGGTAAAGAAAATTACTGTCTCTAGAACAAATGGCTGCCTGTCCCAGCCGCGAAAATGACGGCAACTTTAAAATTACCCACAGACATTCTTGGGTACTTCCAGGATGTTATCCGCGAATAACCCAGAACCGCGAAGTAAAAATCCACGAACTTGGGGGGGGGGGGCCTGTATACAATTTTACATGATGTGTTCAGACTTTAATAATTATTGTTATCTTTGTTATTCTTTTTGTTTTTATTGATACAAGCAATGACCATTATATGATGGGGTTAGGGACCTCAAAAAACCCTTGATAAAAGATCAATCATATATCAATATTAATAACTTATGGGGAAAACTAGTTTCCGTTCCTGAGCCCCTGAAGAGCCCAAACAAGTATTATATCCTGCTGTTATATTGATTAAATGTCTAAGTAACTCAAATAATTTATAAATATACATAAAATCAATAAATTTATACAAAATAAAGACAAAAATAATAAATTTATATACATAGAGATTTTTTCATTTACCTTACATGATTATGTATGTGTACAGTAGTAAGTTGCAATCCCTCAGCTGTCACTACAAGTAATTTGAGGTAGACATAGGTATTTATTTATTTTTTTTTATTTTTTTTTACACGCACACACACACACACACTTAGCAGAATGTGCAAAAAGGTCAAAAACATGGACAATAATTTTTTGTGTGTCCTTGAGTTAGTGTAGATTGTGGGAGCTGGAGGGGGGTGAGGTGTTGGCATCTCAGCTTCCATAAGCTGTGAACTGCTTTAGTATTATTTTTCAACGTGTATTTTCGGGTAGACACGTGTAATTTTCTTCAAATTTTTAAAACTTTATTACATGCACACAATCATTTATATAGAATATGCAGAAAAAAAACATCATAAGGTCAAAAACATAAAAGGATTAAACATTTATTTTGAGTGTGGGAGCTAGCACGGAGTGAGGGAAGGAAGAAGCGGCATTCCCTCATGACTCTGCTGTCCCGAGCGTAGTGACAGATTGCCAAATGGCGACGCAGTATTTTTTTATTCTTTTATTAATATTTTTACTCCTCACATTTACTGGTACTGTATAGTATATATTGTTTTATATACAGGAAATATCTTTTTCCACATGAAAACCATCATCTGGGCAATGTGATACAGTTCAACTGCATAGCCTGGCAGTCACCGGGCACGGATAGGTCATCATATCTCAGAATATTGAAAGATATTGTACATCACTTTTTATTAGAAATGACAATGTAGGAAAACCATTCGGGTAGCGACCATCGTAAAACTGATCATTAACCATTGCATAGTGGTAAATGGCGTTAATCTTTTAATATTGTAAAACTCATTAACCGTATATACTGTAGATCTATCATATAATGGTCATTGCCTGTATTATTATTATTAAGGTTATTTACAATTTAATCTTCCTGTGTATTTCTGTTGAAATGGCAAGTGTAATGAAGATTCCACGTTATAAAGAGTTACTGTACACATTTGCAGTCCTGGTGGCGCATGATCCGAGCGCGCCGCACCTACTTGATGTATTGTCAAGCCTTAAAAATGTGGGAACCCTACATCATTGTCCTTCAGAGGGCTGTACGTTCGTGGCTACTCCGCAGAAGAATAAAAAAAGTCCACCAGCACTTCACCAACCACGTAAGTATTAATGATGAGTTTTCTTATGTCAAGATTTTTGTCCTAAGAACGTATTCATATACATGTGTGACCCGTGAGATAGTTGGCTCATTAGACTTGAGACGTTTATTAATGCAAGGGAGGACATGCCAAAACCAAGTTTTGAGAAAATGGGGTTTAAAGGTTTCCCATATTCAAAATGCCATAGAACCTCCCAAAATTGATCAATTCCATTCAGTGAGGTCTCTCTTTAAAGGCGATTCAATGTAGTATATGATTCTCGTAATAAATGAGGTGTGATGTATGATTTTGGTTCATATTGATGTCAAATAATGAAATGGTGTGAAATTAACATTCATGAAAATAATGAAACAATAAAGTTCTGTACACAAAACAAAAATTTATACTGTAATTAAAAAAACTAACTAATGGTAACACACTCTAGATGATGATTATGCTCTACTAAAGAAAAGAACTTGGTAGCAGGAGGGGAGGGGGGTAGGGTAGGTGGCTAGTAATCTATCTGATCATCATCAGATACATCTTCCTCTGGGATGCCGAAAATAGAATGTAGTGGGCTTCTCATTGGTCAGCACGCTCTTTCCCGACATGCTTATTAGCTCGGGGAGTAAGGCAGACTGTGATTGGTTGCCAAGCCACTGGCAAACTCGACTTTGCTTTACTCTTGCCAGACACTGAAATTACCACAGGCAGCACAGAGATGCCAGGAGTTTTACACCATATGATTCAATGGGATTTTGCCAGTAAACCAAAGGTGAACTCGTCATACCATCTTATGTCAAAGTAGAAAGAAACTTTCTGAAATGAATGGTACAAAAATCATATTTTCGCTTGTGTGGCGAGTTCGCCCTTGTATTAATCAACACGTCATTTGTTTAAGTTTTTTCACTTGCTCCCAGTTTTTGCATAGGATATATGAAGGAATTAAAAACCTCCGGACATGAAGAAATGATAGGAGAGAATTGTGCAAAAGTACAGAAAGTGACCATAGAGGGCTGAAATAAATAGGAACATTGTATATACACTCACAATGGTGTACAGTATTATCAACATGCTTAGTGTTAATCTTTAATCACCACTTTTATTTTGGCTCTTCATGTGAATTCACTGCCAACTGTATATAGATAAAAATATCAAATACAGTAATACCTAGCTTTACGCGGTTCTCGTTAACGCGTTTCCACATTTACGCGGTACCCCGCCAGAACCGGAATTCCCACTTTACGCGGTGCATCTACTCATATACGCGGGAAGCGGTGCGGGCAGGGTGCGCACAAGGTCGCCCAGTCATCAAAACATTACTGAGTTCTTCACCCGCCACTCACCACAGCCGGCCCAAGTCAGTGATAGTGACAAAGAGGCCCTGCAAGCCTCTGTGGTGGATAGTGTGATACAAGTGATACAGGTGAGGGCCAATAATCTGCCCTCTGCCTCGGAACCAACCCCCCATCCCCGTGTGCCCAGCCATCTTTTCTACTAATGTAAGTGTTAAAAAACCTAATATCATTGATATTTCTCTTAATTATTAATTGTGTGTGCATACCATCATAAAATTAAGAAGTTATTTTTACTACAAGGTACGTATTGTGTCTTAAAAAGTGGAGTTTGGGGGTCGGCCCAGTCTCTATTTCAATTAATCCCATATGTTCTGTTGTTCACTTTACGCGTCTCCCGTTTTACGCGGGCCTCCATGGGTTCAATTGACCGCGTAAAGCGGGGTTATACTGTAATGGAATGACAGGAATTGGAGAAAAACAAATTATAGGAAACTGAAATTGATATTAAACTAAGATTGATTTTTTTTTTTTTTTTACAGGAAACTCAAGTTGTCATAATCCAGAGGGCGTGGCGTGCTCATAAGGCTCGCCAAGACCTACATTCACTCACACATCAAGACAATCCACCTTTGTCTGTCATCCGGAAATTCATTCATTTACTCGATGTCTCTTCAAGTGATTTAGACGAGGAATTTTTCTTACAGGTATTCTAGATCTTATTTTCACTTTATATATATATATATATATATATATATATATATATATATATATATATATATATATATATATATATATATATATATATATATATATATATATACATACATACACATACTGTACATACACATACATACATACATACATACATACATACATACATACCTACCGTATATATATATATATATATATATATATATATATATATATATATATATATATATATATATATATATATATATATATATATATATATACATACATACATACATACATACATACATACATACATATATATATATATATATATATATATATATATATATATATATATATATATATATATATATATCTATATATATATACACACAGTAAAACCTCGATTAACCGTCAATCCCGAACCCCTAAAAAAACCTAAATAAATATAATTTTTTTTTTTTTACAGGGATTAGCCCACCCGGGCACAGGTCACTGACCCACATCGGGGCCTGGGGGGCGATAGTGTAATGATATTAATAATGATAATAATAATAGTAATAAAGAACCATAAAGAAATGCAAAAATGAAAAAAAAATCAAGAGTGAGAAACAATGTACCTGTATGCTTCTTATGTTGTCAATAGTAAGAGAAACAATTCAGACCTTGCAATTGTGTGTAAATGAGGCAGAAAGTCAGATCAACAACCTGGGACTTGGTCACAATTTTTGTGATGACATTTGTTCTTTGACTTTTCCATTTTTTATTCACGGTTTCTGTGCTGGTTCATATTTATTTACTACAGTGGTTAATGTTTTAGAGCAAATTCTATTGAAATATGAATGGCAAATGAACAATAATGAATAGAGGGACTTATATGAGGTAGGTTAGGGAAAGGTACTTTGAAAATGTATGTTATATTTCCGTAGACTTTATGTTGTATTAACCGACCTTTTGGATTATCCGTTGGCCCCTTCCCCCCATATGTGGTCGGTTAATCAAGGTTTTACTGTATATATATGTATATATATATATATATATGCTGCAATTTATGAAGAAATGGCTTAAGGAATCTTTTTACTTATTCATGATATGCTCACTCAACCTATCTGTAATATACAGTGGGGTATGCTATAACGAATCTAATTGGTTCTAGAACCTTGTTCGTTATAGCACTCGTTCGTTATAGGATTAATCCGTTCCAGGCCCCCAAATACAACCACTTAACACTGAAAAATATAATATAAAATTGTAAAAATTGTAAAAAAAGTGCATAAATATGCATCTAAACCCCTGAAATAAAGAATATCATTAATATTTGTAATAAAAAAAACAATAAATTAGTAAAAAAAAAAATTTTTTTTTTTTTTTTTTTAAATAATGTTCGTTGTAGGAGTTTCGTTCGTTATAGCATTCTCAATTTTATAGGTAAAACCGTTCGTTATAGGAATATTCGTAGTAGGATCCGTTCGTTATAGCATACCCCACTGTACTGTATTACCTCCCAGCGTGTTAAAAGTGACATGGTGAAGACAATCCGGCACACACACCACTTGGAGACAGAAGTGGATGAGCTGGACGTCAAGATTGGTCTCCTGGTGCACAATCGCATCACATTGCAGGTTAGAAATCTTCTTGTCTGTGACACATCACTGAGGGGATGACCAAGAGTCTCAAGGATGCTACATATTCCTCTTATTCTCTCCTCAGTTGCTCCACTTTTCCCCACTTGTGATGTTAGTAGTCTCCCTTTACCCAAAATACATGCTGCTGTACATTATTCAAATACTGTAAACCCTTTTTGTCATCCTATCATGTGGCATCCTTACATGTCTGTGAATATGATTAATTTACTGTAGTGAGTAAAAGGTTATAAGAGTGCATTAGTGTGTTGGTTTCAGATAAAAAGAAGAGCTTTTTGGACATAAATAACTGATGACTTAGAACAAATATTTGATTGCTTAAAGTACATCCGTATCCATTAGGTTGATAACGCTTGGGCAAGTTTAAGAAAGTTCATTAAAGGTGTAAGGTTGACTGTAAAAGAGTTACACCTAAAAAAAAGTGGGAACTTAACAGCTGTTCAACCAAACTAGTCTGTCTTGTGTAATTGTTAAGAATGTCAGTCAAGGGGTGCAGGAACATAACTTTGCTTTCCATCAGGTTTCCAATGTATTTGTTTATATCTAAAGCTAACTATAGCTTGATATCTTACTTTCTTACAGGATGTTCTTCCAGCAGATAAGGAAAACATTAACCCCAATGTTCCAGACACAAAGCCAAGAAAAACCAAGAAAGGGTCCAAAGATACATTGAAATATTGTTCAATGCGAACTCAGAGGGGACTGAAGGTATGGAGCACTCAGTGTATTGCTATGAAATAATGGCTGACTTGGAGAGGTGAATGTTTTTTTTTTAAGAAATAATTATGAAGTGCAGTTTTGTAGATTAACAATGCTGTTTTATTTGCAGGCACTGAAGAAGGAGTCCAGAGAGAAGCTCCTTTGCTACCAGCATTTGTTTTATCTCCTGCAGACAGAGCCCCATTACCTTGCTACCCTCATCTTTGCCATCCCCCCTGGCAAGACCACAAAATTCATCGAGAATGTAATTTTCACCCTTTACAATTATGGTGCTAATGATCGTGACAATTATTTGTTACTTAAATTATTCAAGACTGCTCTGGAAGAAGAGATAAGGTGGGTTAAATAATTCTGTATATGTACAGTTGCCTCCACTTCCACCTTTAACAGGGACTTAGTCTCCTTGAGCAATGTGACAGCGGTGTAAAAGATTGCCAGCTGAGCGAAGGGTATCATTAACAGTGAATCAGCAACCTCGTGTGATTCAGTTGAGCTTGTTTTTGAGAGTGTGAACCAGTGTAAAGGAGTTCTAAATCATCACTTCACACTTGTGAAATTATGTATGTACAGGTTGTACCTCTCTAGTCCGGCATTCTGTGGTCCGGAACGATTTTAGTTTGTCCAATGGGTAGATAGGCAGCTTTTTTTTTTTTTACTTATGTGAATTATTATTACAGGAGTATTAAATTTTTGCCCCTCAGGCCCCAATGTGGGTCAGTGACCTATGCCCGGGTGGGCTAATCCCCTTAAAAAAAAAAAAAAGCCGCGGGAAATTAAGGTTTGTTTACATCCGGCAGTTCGGCTGCTCTCTCTCTCTCTCTCTGCTTGTCTATACAGAGTACAACATTTAACCCTTCAATATATATGAGCAGTAAATAAGTGTTGCTTTCATATTCTTATGTAGAGTAATGACGATATGTTTTCACATGTGCACACTTACATACGCGCAGTCTCACTTTTTTTTACCATTAATCGTTAGCTACTTATATTGTTCCATTTATTAACATTAAATAACATTACAGGTACTTCAAACAACCATATTAATTTTTTTACATTAATTTTACTACAGCTAAAATCAGGGTCTTATTTTCTTCAGTTTTATATGTAGAACCAATCAGTCACTGGTTTCGTAAGCTTTAACATAAACAATGCCGGCAGCCGTCTCGTCTCCTCTAATATTCCACGTATTATTAATAAATTGTATTGTTAATTTTGCACACGCACACATTAATTCAATAAAAACAAATTCAGAAACATTAATTAAAATATATATGAACAGTAAATAAGTGTTGCTTTCATATTCTTATGTAAAGTAATGACGATATGTTTTCACGTGTGCGCATGCGCACTTACATATGCGATCTCTCTTTTTTCTTTACCATTATCGTTAGCTACTTCTATTGTTCCATTTATTAATATTAAATAACATTACTTAAAACAACCATATTAATTTTACTACAGCTACAACCAAGGTCTTATTTTCTTCAGTTTTATATGTAGAACCAGTCAGTCACTGGCTTTGTAATCAACGAAAACAATGCTGTGTCATTTCCTCGTGTGTTTTAATATTCTACGTATTATTAATGAATTGTATTGCTCATTTTGCACACAAACATTAATTCAATAAAAAAGACATTCAGTAATAAACAATAATGAATCTTTTGTACATAAGAGAAATGACGCTGTTTACACGATTATGCACGTCGTCTGCACGTTGGCGGGCCGTTCAAACCCGTCGAAATTCAAGTTTCCGCCGTCAAATTTTTTTTTTATTTATTTTTTTTTGTGTGTTCCAATAAAATACGTTAAGAATTAAAAACTCGCGAAATTTGAGAAGCTACTATACGACATTTAACCATTCAATATGTCTTCAAAGAGACCCTGATGCAGAGAAAGTGGTGCTAGTGCTTCCAAGCATAAGCACAAGTCACTATCTATCCAGGAAAAGGGTGAATTTCCATGGTCCGGCACCGGTCAGGTCCCGAGGTTGCCGGACTAGAGAGGTACAACCTGTATATGAAATGTGCATTTCATTATACATTGAAAGTGACTGGTGTCGTGTAATGCTACTTGAAACCAACACTGTTTGTATTGTTGTTTCGAAACAATGTCATGAAATGGAGGGACCTTCGACTCACAGCCATTTCCCCTCCTGACTGCCTGCTCACCCACCCTCTAGCTATCACCTCTGTTCTCCTATCACTTCACTGCATAGCTTATACCGAGTTAAAATCCCTTGTCACCTCTCATTTTAGAAATGCATTATGATTAGAACAAAGACTCACATGAGGTTTGGTGATTCACTGTTATTGTTAACCTTCGCTCAGCTGGTAATATTTAACAGTGTTGTCACATTGCTCAGGAAGACTTGGTTCATTGTTAAAGGTGGCAGTGGAGGCAACTGTACAGCTCAATTTAATATTTATATATTTGTTTTGAAGATAACTAGCTAGTTAGGTTTCATTATTGCCCTCTTTTAGTATGTAGTTTATTACACTACAGAAGGAAGTTTATCCATACTGAAACTTCACTAATACAGGGGGCCCCCTAAATTTGTGGGGGTTAGATTCTCAAAATGGTCGCGAATCGCCAAATCCGTGAAAAATATTTGCGGCATTTGCGGGTGGGGGGGGGTTACATTTTTACTTGTGTATGAAGAAATGTATATTCCCTTTGTGTTTGTCCTTAGGACAATCATTTCTTTTACCTGTAGTATTGTATATGTGTGTGTGTACACACAAAACACATACAGTAGAACGTCAATTTAAAGTGATTCAATTTAAGATTACTGTATTGATTTAAAGCGACACCCACAAATAAGGACAATGTTTTAATTTAAAGCGAATCTTTCCTATTTTGCGAGAGTCAATCTGGCTCCTCATATTTAAAATTTTGCGCTTAATGTTGCTCTGGGCATGTTACACTGTCCTAAGGGCAAAGCTGTACTGTACATGTACTCAAAATAATGTACTAAATGATTACTAAGAGTTTTGTCGAGTGCAAACTATAACATGTTTATATTTAAATTAATCGCTATCTTATAAGAATTCCAGTAATGTAAATTATATTCTGCCTGGTCACTTCTGTGAAATTTTATAAGCAAAAAACATAAACTCAATCTAAAGGACATAAATAAACAAATAAATATTTCACTAGACCTTCAGCGCCAACTGTCAAACGTCACCGTCACCTTCCCTCCCTCCCTCCCTCCCTCCCTCCCTCCCTCCCTCCCAGCCAGGGTTTGGTGTTTTAGGCTTACAGTTTTTATCTTATATAATATCACAGACTAAAGTTAGGAGAATATATTTTGTATTGCTGGAATCCTTGCAAGACTGAATAATTTTAATATAAACGTCATATATTTTGCACCAGAAATTTTTTTGCTCTTTGTATGTCTAATGCGAACTATAGCATGTTTATATTCAAACTTTGGCATCAACTGTCAAACATATCACCTCACCCCCCTCCCTCTACCCCCATCTTCCCAGCCAGTAAACAGACCATTTTTATCCCTTAATTTTAGCTGTGTTGATTTATGAGTGTTTGTTTTAACATAATACTACAAAAAACAATGTTTTGTTTCTTCTAGGAGATGGGCTGAGGTGCATCTGGGTAGACTCTCAGTCTTTTTAGTATTTTGTGTTTCTCTCAAGTACCAAACTAAATTATTCCATTGAAACAACACTTTGATTTAGTGCAAATTCGGTTTAAAGCGACCTCTTTTGGAACCTATCTCGTGTTATATTGACGTTCTACTGCACAAATAAATAATAATGGGAAAATACTCTCAAATAATCAGAAACAAATTTATTAAAAATGTTACAGTCTACCGGGCCAGGGGTGGGCAATTATTTTTGATGAAGGGCCACTTCATGAATGGTGGCACACTTTGCGGGCCACACACTTAATGTAGATGCAAATGTATTATATTAACACAAAGTAAAGCCTTGTACAGTATTACCCCGCTTTGCACGGTTTCACTTTCCGCGGTGCATCTACTCATGTACCCGTGAAGTATAATTTTTTTTTTTTTTTTTAGCTCATAAAATTCATACAAATTACCCGGCCAGAATATAATTTACTTTGCTGGAATTCTTACAATATGATGATCATTTTGAATATAAACTTCATGGATTTTGCATTAGACATACAAATTTTAGATCTAATGTAATAATTTGGTTTACACAAAGCAAGTATTTTATCTTTTGTGCAAAATATATGAAGTTTACATTCAAAATATTCCCTGACCTGCAAGGAATCCAGAAATGTCAATTATATTATCCTAACTTTAGTCTGAGTTATTATTTATTACTAAAAATGTAAATTACTATTTTCTCCCAAAGCTTCTCTGGTAGGGAGGGACGGACTGACCATCTGGCGCGGTTGGAAGAGGAGGGGAGGCAAGGTGGGGTACTTTGATTGACAGATAGTGTGTGAAGAATATATTTTTTTTTTTATTAACTGAAGATATTTGTTTTAGCTCATAAAATTCATACAAATTACCCGGCCAGAATATAATTTACATTGCTGGAATTCTTACAATTTGATGATCATTTTGAATATAAACATCATAGATTTTGCATTAGACATACAAATATTAAATCTAATGTTTACTCTGAGTAAATATGTTATCTTTTGTGCAAAATATATGACATTTATATTCAAAATATTCCTGGTCTTACAAGGAATCCAGCAATGTCAATTATATTATCCTAACTTTAGTCTGAGGTATTATTTGTTACTAAAAGTTAAAATTAGTTTTTTCACCCAACATTTCTCTGGTAGGGAGGGAAGGTGGGGGGAGGGTTGGGACCGACCGACCATCTGGGCGGTTGGAAGAGGGGGGAGGCAAGCTGGGGTACTTTGATTGACAGATAGTGTTGTGAAGAATATTTTTTTTTTTATTAACTGAAGATATTTGTTTTAGCTCATAAAATTCATACAAATTACTGGACCAGAATATAATTTACATTGCTGGAATTCTTACAATATGATGATCATTTTGAATATAACATCATGGATTTTGCATTAGACATACAAATTTTAGATCTAATGTAATAATTTGGTTTACACAAAGCAAGTATTTTATCTTTTGTGCAAAATATATGAAGTTTACATTCAAAATATTCCCTGACCTGCAAGGAATCCAGAAATGTCAATTATATTATCCTAACTTTAGTCCGAGGTATTATTTATTACTAAACGTTAAAATCTAGTGTTTCACCCAATCATTTCTCGGAGAGGTAGGAGCCAGTGAGCTGGGAAGAGGGGGGGGTGGGATTTGAGTCTATTATTTGAATGGACATTAACCTGGCGACTGTATTTCTCTTAAATATTAATTGTGTGAGCATACCATCATAAAATTTAGATGTTATTTTTACTACAACATAGGTATTATGTCGGAAAAAGTGGAGTTTGGGGGTCGGGCCAGTCTCTATTGGAATTAATCCCATATGTTCTGTGTTCACTTTACGCGGTTTTCACTTTCCGCGGTACCCTGTGGGTTCAATTGACCGCGTAAATCGGGGTACTACTGTATTTGTAAATACAGGAAATAAGATAAGATAAAAAGTACATAGTGAAAATGTGGGTAAATAAACACATATCTGAGCTAATATAATTTATTATAATATGTACTAATATTAATACTACTATTAATACTAATACTGTATAGTTAAAATGCAATGCAATTTCCACTAACTACTTCAACATTATTAGGACAGAATCGATTTTGATGGCTGAAATTCCACTTCTGTCCAGATGTTTTCATCTCTTCCTCCCTTATGGTACTGGAGGTAGGGTGGTGTCAGTCAGGTTTGATCGCAGCTGACCCACGTTGCCACTGCTACATTGCTTGATACAGAAATTGGGTTCAGGAATTTTAATTCATTATTCGAGTGTCAGTACTCTAAGAGACTTGGATGTATGTAACGAAATAGGCAGGCAACTGAAGTATGACCATGCAAGAAAGAAATAAAGTGTCTAAAAGCGTTAATTATATTTATGAGTTATGCAAACTGATGCCAGAGCCTACTCATAGTTGTGGGACCCATGTATCTTAAGGTTACCATAAAATTATATGAAATGTAATTTTTATTTACTGAAAATAACTAAATAAAAACATTTATTAAATAAAAGTAAATAAAAATTGAATTTAATATTTGAATTTGTTGACATGTGATGAGAATATTTAACTTAGTTAGTGGGAAGAATGACAGTGTTGATGATTGTTAACCAGATGGGTGAAGTTAGGTGTTGCTTCCGAAGTTGCAATTAAAAGTACTTGTTCAAGGTGAGCATCGGCCATTGCAGATCTAAGCTTTGATTTATTCAGTTTTATTACAGGAAATGTTTGCTCATATATATGTGGATCCAAAAAGAACAAGCATTTTTTGGCCATGAGCTTTTAGTTTTGGAAATGAACAGTCATTAAGAGAGGCATAGAATTTGGGAAGAGGCACGAACATAATTTGCTCAGAAAGCAGAGGATCGGACTGCAGATCAATAAGCTCGAGTTGTAGGTCAAATGGAGCTTTGTCAACATCAAATGAGACAGGAGAAGACACCAAGGACAGGTCATTTTCAATTAATTTAAAATCCTGGAATCGGCGTGAAAATTTGGCATGCAAGTCAAGTAGCAGCAACGAATACTTTTGTGCATTTTGATCACATACTGCAGTCTGCTGTATTGTTGCAAAGTGAGCAAATTTTTTATCAGCTATCTGACGAGACAAAAGAGTTAATTTTCTCATAAAAGCCTTGACACTGTTATATAAATCATGTGCAAAAGCCCCTCTTCCCCTGCAGCCTGAATTCAGGTCGTTCATGTGACCCATGATATCAACAGCAAATGCAAAATCAGAAGCCAATTCTCATCATTCAGTTCTGGGAAATCCATAGTTTTTGTTTCATGTCCAGAAATAGATTGATCTCATGTCTCAGTTCCCACACTTTTCAAGATTTTCCCAAACTGAGCCATCATACACTTGTGTAATACAGAACATCCGTGTGATCAGAGTCCAAGTCTTCAAGTAGTGTTATAAACTGTCTGTGATTTAATCCTCTTGCTCGAATATAATTAATCACTTTTACAACGGCGTCCACGACATTGCTAAGTTTTAAAACACTCTTACAGAGGACTTCCTGATGAATAATACAATGTAGAAAGATGAGATTTTGTTCTGCATTTGTTTCTCTGACCTGGTCTTGCATTTTTTCAGCAATCCAACATTTTTACCTGTCAGATTTGGTCCACCATCAGTGGTCACATTAACTAATTTTTTCCATTCTACTTCTAATTTTGAAATACAATTATTTACTTCCTCCAGTACGTCTTCTCCAGTTGTCGTTCCTTTCATTGACTGCATTGATGCCAGTTCTTCTGTGATCTCAAATTTTTTGGTGATGCCTCTAATGAAAATTAACAACTGGGCTGTCTTTGACATCACAACTTAAATCAAGTGCCAATGAAAAGTAGTCAAAAGTCCGTACCTTATCTTTTAATTGCAGATATATGTTTTCAGCAATGTCCTCAACACGTCTCACAACAGTTTGACGTGACGAGCTTAATTTCTCAAACTGGTTTTTCTTATCTAGACATAAAATAGAGGCAGAATCATCCATACACTCCTTTATAAATTCTCTTTCAGAGAATGACTTACTGTTTTTTGCAATTTTGTGGGCAATCATGTAACTCACTCTTGTAATATCATCTTGGGATAAAAAGAAATTTTTTGAAAATGCTGCTGCAATTGCCTAACCATCTCGTTCGCTTTTTTTTTGCTTTTTCTTCATCAGAAAAGTTCTTATATTTACTAGCATGCGTGGTCTCAAAATGGCAATGTATGCTGTAATCCTTTAGCACTGCTACACTTTCTTTGCAAATTAAACACACAGCTTTTCCATCCTCATTGGTAAAGAAATATTTAAAGGTCCATTCCTTGTTGAACGATCGACAGTCTGTGTCATCTTCCCTTTTCTTAGATGCACTCATTTTCAGTTAAAGTATGGGTTGTGGACAACAAAATGAAAGTAGATATACTGACAAAGCACAGCAACGTCCTTGTCAGTCAGAAGCACAAAGGAGAATGAGATTAGTGTTGCCGCTGCGCTGGACGCCTGAGTCAGGTCACGATGGTGAGGTGTGGGTGCAACTGTCCCAGTTCCTCCGGGGAAGAAAGACACGTTGAGAATTCCCATGAGGTCAAGGATGGGTTCTCAGGTAAAAGATTTAGTCTCCCTTGACCTAATAGTCATAATTAATGGATTCCCATACCACACCGGTACCTAATGCAGGTGTTCTCACGATCAGGTTAACAGCAACGAGCCACTATTGCTGCTATGTCCACCCAACTTCCAATATTATCCTTTCTATAATTAATAAGAATTTTTTTTCTGATTGCCAAATGCAGTAGCGGGCCACAGAAATAATTTGGTGGGCCAAATGTGGCCCGCGGGCCGTACTTTACCCACCCCTGGTCTACCCACAAGTCCGTTCTCTATTACAGTACTTTATTAATAGAGCACGGACTTGAGGGTGAGCAGTCACATTTTTCATAAATTTTTTCTCATTATTTATGAGGGTATTTTCCCATTACTGCATTATTTATTTGTATGTGTTAGACACACACACACACACACACACACACACATACATACATACATACATACATACATACATACATACATACATACATACATACATACATACATACATATTTACAATACAGGTAAAGGAAATTATTGTCTCTGGAACAAATGGCTCCCTGTCCCAGCTGTGAAAATGTTGGCAACTTTAAAACTACCCACAGACATTCTTGGGTACAGTTGGCCACAGGAATAAGTATACACACTGTAGCTGTAAGGTCCGAGAATGGTCTGGTAACATCCAACACTCCTGCCTTTTAATTTACCCTCAGTCCTCCAGTTCCCATCGGCCTCACAAATACACTTGAAATCCCTTATATCCATTCTCTCTATGGCCTTACAGAGATATTGCATTTTCATAGTGCTTTATTTTATCTTTTATAGGTTGTATAAATCACAATAGTTTGTTGAAATCACTACAGGAGTATTTGGAAATTGCTTGAGAAGTTGGAAATTATAATTTTTAGTAAGATTATAATCTTGTTCAAGGAACATTCATAATAGTAACTGAAATACTATTAACTAAACTGGATACACATACCAATTATACCAGTTAAATTTGATTTTTAGAAATGTTATTTATCTGCATGGCTTTAATGTATCAGGGTAACGTCACTTTTTGTTACAGATGTAAAGTGTTGCGTTTGAGTGACATTGTGTCTGGGAACCCCCTGGTTGTGAAGATGATTGTGTCATTCAATAGGAAGGGGGCTGGGCAAGCCTCACTTAGGGATATGCTGGGACCACTCATTCACAAGGTTAGTTCTTCTACAGTATAAAGAGCTTTAAGACTCAGTTCTTAGTGTTCTGGATTCCTAAGCCATGGGAGATTTCTTTCTACCATAATTTTTTTATTGTAGACGGGTAGTCTTTGATTACCTAAGGGAGCTGCGATCCTCCCTTGCCAGCTGTTCCCACCATGCCGTTAAACTTTGCTACAACCAGAGCTGTGTCCATCCCCTGGTCTATAAGAATACTGTACTGTATACTGTACTATTTTTAACTATTCTTCTTTGCTATTCTCTTCCCTCCATAGTTTTTGAGGTTTCCAAGCATTTTCATTTCACTTAGTCACTGTCATTCTGGATAAATTTGCTAGTTGGGTCAAACAAAAGATGGTTAACCTTTACAGATCCTGGGTGACAACAATATGCAGATCAACACTAACCCAGTAGAGATTTACAAGACTTGGATCAACCAGTTGGAGATGCACTCAGGACAAACCAGGTATGGTGTGCATGTTAATAGTTTGTAGGTAACTGCAAGTGCTTGTAGTGTGGATATGACAGTATAATTAACAGGGTGAAGTAATATTGATAAATGACCGGTTCATAAAATTTTGTATTTTGTTCTAATGCAGGAATAGAATTTTTTGGTAGTGGAAGGAATCGATAAAAAAAATTGGAATCAGTAGGAGCAAAAGGCAGAGATACTCCTTTTAAAAAATTAAAATTAAAATTTGGGGGGGGGGGAGGTGGGGGGGGCAAAGGAAATGGCTAACATTTTTATCCCCAAACTTAGAAAAGGGAGTTTACTGTACTGTATGTTGTTTAACTTTTACAATTTGTCTGTCTATTAACTGATCATATCTCTGCGAGACAACATTTCTTTCTCTTGTTTGTTCTTTCACTTATGGTGACAGCACTAATGATATTGCCATGCTTATTGCAGTGGACTGCCATACACAGTGAGCCAGGATGAGGCATTGCAGTACCCTGAGGTTCAGAAAAGATTAGCTCAGGCCATCAGCACACTCAAGGAAGTCACACTGGCCTTTTGTCAACAAATTACCACCAACAGAGACCTCATACCATATGCTATGTTGTACATGTCACGCGTCATGAGGTGTGCACTACAGCGCCGTTTTCCACATGTCCCAGAAAAGGAGATATTGAAAGTAAGAAGGGCATATATTACTTATACAGTATACTGTAGATGAAAAACAAATTAAGCAAATTAATCTTGCCTTATATCATTTCCTAAATTTATTCCATCTTTATGTGTAGCCTTTTATCTGGTCAGATATATTTGAGAAAAGAATAAAGATAACTGACGTATAGGTTGAGCTCGATCTTTTTTTTTTTTTTTTTTCCCAGTCATTACAGTTCACAGAAGTTGATTGGTTGGTGGGGAAGGGAAAAGTGGAAAGAGTATAGGTGATAAGTCAATTGATAGATTATTCTGTCAGTAAATTTAAATTGATCATCCTATTTGCACAGGTGGTTGGTAATCTGGTCTATTATCGTTACATCAACTCTGCCATTGTAGCACCAGATGCTTTTGACATAGTGACAGTCTCCCCTGACCAGAAATTAAATAATAACCAGCGCCGCAACCTAGCCAGTATTGCTAAAATTCTGCAGTTTGCTGCCTCCAAGAAAGGTATGGAACATGTTTTAATTAAATTTTTCCTGATTGTACATGACTTGCATGTATGTCATTGAATAGTGTTTGGGGATAAATATAATGTTGGGGTAAATTATGAAGTGAGAGGGTTAAATCTAAAGGACACTGGGGCTTTATTAGAACACATCTTGAGAGAACAAGAGGGGATTGCAGGAATGAGAAAATTAACTGTAGAATCACAACCTAGTTTGTATAAATTAAACCTCATGTTTTCTCTTCCTTTGGGGGGGGGGGGGTTGCAGTTATAGGATGTGCTATGATAAAATTGCATTCTGGAATTCGTAGTTTTTAATAGCTAAAGAACTTGTTAATGTTCTCCCCAGGATTTGGTGATGAAGCATCACACCTCAAGTGCCTCAACCCTTTCATTGTGGAGTGCCATGAGAAGTTCAAGGCTTTCTTCCGTGAATGTTGTGAGGTGCAGGAGCCAGAGGCTGTGTACAATGTTACACAGTATTCTGAAGCAACGCTTATTGTCAAGCCTACCATCTACATCACAGTGCAGGTGCGTCAGTTTACTGCATTTTAATGTGTTAATACCACTGCACGACAATGGAACTAATAATAATGTCTCAGATACAGTGTTGAGAGAATTACTAGTGTTTTAAACCAGTTTACCAGAGATTAGAAACCCTACTACTCTGCTGAGGCCATTAGTTAGTTCAGTACTCGGGAGGGTTACGATGGAAAACTATAGAATTCATTAATATGTATCGAACTTTGAAATTGGTTCTGTTCCTTGTTGTTAGTACTATTTAGTCTAATTTGAGCCACCCGGAGCTCCTGCAGTAGGTCTGGGAACATGAGCAAGAGTGTGTATCTTGGGAAGAGCACTACAAATGATGTTGATGCCTGATTCATACAACCACATTTCAGTTACACAAGATATCCAAGCTGAACTCCTTCAGAAACTCATTAATGTGGCACATTCTGTATATGATCACATGGATATTAAGCAGACCTACTTTCAATAGATTCAAGGGGGAGGGGGGGGGGGTTGGGGCTTTTTTTTTTTTTTAACAAGTCAAATCAGTGTTTTCAATTACTTCTTTACGTTGGGAAGTCATCATAAGGCAATCTTTACTGATACAAAATGACTGACTGACTTGAGTGGTACTACAAGAGTAGAACAATTTGTACAGCAGGGTTTTCTTATTTGAGCATGTCCTAGAGCTAGACTCATGACTGCCTGCACAGAAGGCTCAAACTGGAGAACGGCTTCCTGGGAGAGCCTGAAGCAAGGTGTCCACATTTTTGGTAGTGGTAGTATTGAGTAACCCAAACCTAAACGTATCTCCATGACCGAGTTTACTTTCTCCTTTTATCTTTATGAAAACAAGGGATAACTTGGAGCCTTTATTTAACAGTTCTTGAATTCCTTTATTCTTAGCAATGCCCGAGACTATTTCGTTATTAGGGAATGTAGTAGGAATACCGTACCTACAATTATCATTTTTTGGCATGATCTTTCTTGGTTCAGACACCATGAAGTCTGAGTGTGTACCAAAGCAGGAATGCATTGTCCCACTAACCTCCTCCTTTGCCTTCTTGGTGGGAAGTCTAATAACAAGGGAGTCAGTTTGTCTCTGCAGTTTTCAACAGGAATGGACTTAACTGCTCTCTCAACACTTACAGCAGCAACTTTAGCCTTATCATTCATAGTGCCCTCTTTTGGCTTCAGTATGAGTACCTGCTGGGTGTGGACTGTCCTATCCCTGCCCAAATCATTGATCTTCACATTCACTCTTTTAGTACCACCCTTATCTTTTTTCAACTCCTTCAGTTCCTCTTTGACAATGTTTGCTGTTGATTGCAGAGACTCAAGAGTCCACTCCCAAAGCATTGATTCTGTCCTCCAGTGTTTTCAACCTCCCAGTCACACCCTGCTCAAAGTTCTCCAGAGCACTTGTTATAAGTGACACCACCTTATTAGCTATTGTAACATCCAGATTTGATTTGGCCATGGTCAGGATGTCATTCACTCTATCTTTGCAACCTGCACAGAACCATTGGAAGCTGAGTTTCTTGATCATAAAGTTGTAATCCTTCTCATCAAGGTTGCCACAAGCAGTGTGGTACCAGGCACTGTAATACAATACCTAAGAGGCTGAGATGTCTTGGTTGCTGTCAACCTACATCCGGGAATTCCTTTTTGTTTCACATGGTGGAACCACAAAAGCAAACAAACAAAAGAAGACAAGGAAATGCTAACAAACTGCCTGGGCAGCCCCAAGCAGCACTAATAAACAACACCAGTCTGAAGAAAATAGTCAGTGTAAACAAGTATTTTACATGTCACATTTGTCGGTCATAGTCAGTTCACTTTGGTCAGTCGTGGAGTGTATATCTCCAGTCTACGGCACAAGCTTTTTCTACTTCCACTTGTTTCTCCATCATTACCTTTATTTCTGATAACCATGGGCAAAGCACCTAAATTTGGTACAGAGTTACAGTACTATACAGTCAACCCTCACTTTACGCGGTCCCACATTCCGCGTTTCCACGTTTACACGGTGCCCTGCCAGAACCCAGGATGCTCACATTCCGCGGTGGGTGTACCCCTTTACACGGGTGAAGTATAATTTTTTCATTTAGCTCATAAAATTCATACAAATTACCGGGCCAGAATATAATTTACATTGCTGGAATTCTTACAATTTGATGATCATTTTGAATATAAACATCATAGATTTTGCATTAGACATACAAATTTTAGATATAATGTTTACTCTGAGTAAATATGTTATCTTTTGTGCAAAATATATGACATTTATATTCAAAATATTCCAGGTTTTACAAGGAATCCAGCAATGTCAATTATATTATCCTAACTTTAATCTGAGGTATTATTTAATACTAAATGTTAAAATCTAGTTTTTTCACCCAACCTTTCTCTTGAAGGGAGGGTTGGTGGGGGGTGGGGGGGAGGGTTGGGACAGACCGACCATCTGGCGCGGTTGGAAGAGGGGGGGAGGCAAGGTGGGGTACTTTGATTGACAGATAGTGTCGTGAAGAATATTTTTTTTTTATTAACTGAAGATATTTGTTTTAGCTCATAAAATTCATACAAATTACCCGGCAATAATATAATTTACATTGCTGGAATTCTTACAATTTGATGATCATTTTGAATATAAACATCATAGATTTTGCATTAGACATACAAATTTTAGATATAATGTTTACTCTGAGTAAATATGTTATCTTTTGTGCAAAATATATGACATTTATATTCAAAATATTCCTGGTCTTACAAGGAATCCAGCAATGTCAATTATATTATCCTAACTTTAATTTGAGGTATTATTTATTACTATACCTGGTTTTCCCCCAAAAATTTCTCAGAGAGGGAAGAGCCAGCGAGTGTAGTGTGAGAAGAGGGGGAGGGAGTTGAGTCCATTATTTGAATGGACATTAACTGTATTTCTCTATTTCTCTTAAGTATTAATTGTGTGCATGTACCATCATAAAATTAAGATGTTATTTTTACTAGAACATAGGTATTGTGTTGGAAAAAGTGGAGTTTAGGGGTCAGGTGGTCTCTATTTCATTTAATCCCATATGTTATGTTATTCACTTTACACGTTTCTCACTTTCCGCGGTACCCTGTGGGTTACATTAACCGCGTAAAGTGAGGGTTGACTGTACTTGGAAATGTTAAAATGTTGATTGGGGCAAATAATGGAAAAGTACCGTTTTTTTTTTCTGTATTTTCCCTCAGGTGGTGTCCATCGTATTTTGAATTATGGGGGTTCTACTGCACTCGTTTTTGCTTCTTTTCATTCGGCATCATGGATAATTCAGGGTAATGAATTCAGAGACAGTGGTCCCTCGGTTAACGGACGGTTCGATTAACGAAATTTCGGTTAACGAATTAGCTCCAATAAGGATCTTCAATTCAGTTAACGAACAAAACTTCGATTAACGAAATCCTTTCGACAAACATTTGTTGTGAGCATCAGCTGATCGGCTAGTCCGCCAATACAGTAATCGGTTCAATGTTTACATTCGTTTCCAGTGGAGTAAATATCAAGAAGGTCAGGGCCGGATTTACCTACTTGTGGGCCAAACTCATCAGTGGGCCCCTAAATTTATAGAAATGTTTGCATGTTTCAATAATCAATATATATATATATATATATATATATATATATATATATATATATATATATATATATATATATATATATATATATATATATATATATATATATATATATATATATATATATATATATATATATATATATATATATATGCATGCCCCAACCACAAGGAAGAAAGAAAACACGAGAAGTTCCCAAAGCTTTTGTGTAATTCACATCTTCGGGGTAGTACAGACTAAGGAGAAGTACAAAACAAAGTGTATATATTCAAGGATCTTTCATAGACAAATGCCTGAACATTACTAAGAAATCTTTTTATAGAACTGATCCCAAGCCCACCCATGACCATAAGAATCTCTTAGTATTACCATTTCACAAAAATTTCTCTCAAATTCCTTTACAACTAAAAACCTGGAACGTCAATGTGGCATTTAAAAACTCATGCACTGTTAAACAAATGTTAATCAAGAACTCCCCCAACAATAAAAATGGCTGCATATATAATGTCCCTTGCAGGGAATGTAATATGTTTTACTTAGACCAGACAGGTAAAGATCTTGTAACTAGACTTAAACAACATAAATATAGTGTTAGGACAGGCCAGGAATCCAATGCTCTGTTTGTTCATTTGAGGGATAACAAGCATTGCATTGACTGGGATAATGCCTCCTCAATATTACCTTGTAATTCAATTGATAGTAGGAACATCATAGAATCTAATCTCATTAAACATACCGAAGCATTCAACATGAATTTGAGTAATGGCATGTACAAACTGGACAATTTTGTAATTAAGAAGATTTGTAACCAGGTGAGAAGGTTGGGTCACCTTACCCTCTGACCTGACTACCGACCTTTGCCGTGCTATTTAAAGATTAGTAGGGTCATTACCTAATACCTGACCATTGTGGACCTGGTCTCACCCTCCTCTGTATATATACACCTTGTTTTGTACTCCTCTTTAGTCTGTACTCACCCCTGAAGATGTGAATTACACGAAAGCGCTTGGGAACCGTGTTTTCGTCTTCCTTGTGGTTATCAGCATATACCTAGATCACGCTCACCTACAGTGATTTACTTGCATATATATATATATATATATATATATATATATATATATATATATATATATATATATATATATATATATATATATATATATATATATATATATATATATATATATATATATATATATATATATATATATATATATATATATATATATATATATATATATATATATATATATATATATATATATATATATATATATATATATATATATATATATATATATATATATATATATATATACACAGTCGGCCCTTCACATATGCGGGTTTAGCATTCACGGATTCATAAAATCTACATGATTGCCCCAGGAATATTCTGCATG